GCAAATTAGCCCCGTACCGTGTCCCGGATGCCGCTTCCGCTCCCTGACCGTGCCTCGGAGCCGCTGACCAAAAAAATATCACCACCCCTGGTCCCCAGACGCTGCCACAGCCTGGCCGTGTTTGCAGCTGCCGCCTTGCAGTGGTGGGATGCACCTTCATGTGGTTTGCTCATGAGTGGTTTAGCCTTCTTGTTCAACCGCTTGAGGTTGCCTTTGTTGGCATGCGACACAGGTTCGGTAGGTTTCTTGCTCAGACCCGCGCTACGCCGTGCTCTGCCCGGGTGGCCCGTTTATCTTTGGCGCCTGGCGCGACAAGGTACGATTCGTTTGCCTTCCTGGTGGTCAGCCCTCTGGGATGGTTGCACTTCAGCCGCCTGGCACACATGGCACCTGTTGCAGCGCCGCCTTCAGTCCCAGGCGTCGCTCGGCGCCCCTCGGCGGCAGCTCCGGCGGCCGTTAGTTCGCGCGCTTAGGTAATTAGATTTGGCTCGCAGCCCGGGCTGACTTCGGACATCGCCTGCGCTTCCGCTTGCGGCCGCGACGGAAACAAAAAACAATCCCCACCAGCCCATCCAGAAACGATGCCCATGCATGATAACTGACGGGGGAGGCCAGAAGAGGCACGCATAGTCAGCCCATCCAGAAGCCCCGGGACGTCTGAGTGGGCTGGCCATCTCGAACCGTCTTGGAGCGGTCTTGTTTGTGGCTTCTTGGAGCATCTTGGGAACCATCTTGAGCCAGCTTGGGCTATCTTGAGCCATCTTGGAGGTCATTTTGGGCTCTCTAAGGCCGCTCGGGGGCCTCCTGGGTGCCTCTCGGGTCCCTCTTGGAGCCCTCTTACGGCCTCTTGGGTCACTCTTGGGGCCATCTGGGGGGCCTTTTGGGAGCCTTGGGGGGGCCTCCGGGGGCCATCTTGCACGCGGTCGGTCAAACGACGGGGGTCCTAAATGTAGCCCCCCCCACGGGGGCCACGATCCTCGTGAGGGGTGTCAAAAAAATGGCCCTGCCAAGGGCCGAAGATTACCCAGGCGACGTACCCAACCCCTGCGCAAACGCGGGGCGCAAATAGTTTAGGACACTTCATAAGGGGGGCGATGACGGAGCGAGGGTTACCTATGTCTGCAGACGGAATCCGGGAGACTCGCGGGACACTGGCTACAGAACAAGGAGTAGATAAAGCTGATTAGTTACAATCCCTGAACAACCCTTGCCACTTCGAAAGCGGGGATCTCAGGTCGCAGCTCCCCAGGGACGGCGAGGTTTAATTTGGGTTCGCGCGTGGCGTCACTGTGATGGGCCCCCCAGTAGGCCTCGAAAGTGGCGACAGGTTCACAGATCGCAGCCCCCCGGGGATGGCGAGGTGTAGTTTGGGTCCGCGCGTGGCGTCATTGTGCTGGGCCCCCCAGCAGGCCTCGAAAGTGGCGACAGTTTCACAGATCGCAGCCCCCCAGGGACGGCGAGGTCTAATTTGAACTCGCCCGTGGCGTCACTGTGCTGGGCCCCCCAGCAGGCCTCGAGAGTGACGACAGTTTCACAGATCGCAGCCCCCCAGGGATGGCGAGGTCTAATTTGGGTTCGCGCGTGGCGTCACTGTGCTGGGCCCCCCAGCAGGCCTCGAAAGTGGCGACAGGCTCACAGATCGCAGCCCCCCAGGGATGGCGAGGTCTAATTTGAACTCGCCCGTGGCGTCATTGTGCTGGGCCCCCCAGCAGGCCTCGAAAGTGGCGACAGTTTCACAGATCGCAGCCCCCCCAGGGATGTCGAGGTCTAGTTTGAATCTGCCAGTGGCGTCACTGTGCTGGGCCCCCCACCAGGCCTCGAAAGTGGCGACAGTTTCACAGATCGCAGCCCCCCAGGGATGGCGAGGTCTAATTTGAATTTGCCCGTGCTGGGCCCCCCAGCAGGCCTCGAAAGTGGCGACAGTTTCACAGATCGCAGCCCCCCAGGGAAGGTCCGCCCGTGGCGTCACTGTGCTGGGCCCCCCAGCAGGCCTCGAAAGTGGCGACAGTTTCACAGATCGCAGCCCCCCAGGGATGGCGAGGTCTAATTTGAATCTGCCCGTGGCGTCACTGTGCTGGGCCCCCCAGCAGGCCTCGAAAGTGGCGACAGTTTCACAGATCGCAGCCCCCCAGGGATGGCGAGGTCTAATTTGAATCTGCCCGTGGCAGTGCTGGGCCCCCCAGCAGGCCTCGAAAGTGGCGACAGTTTCACAGATCGCAGCCCCCCAGGATGGCGAGGTCTAATTTGAATCTGCCCGTGGCGTCACTGTGCTGGGCCCCCCAGCAGGCCTCGAAAGTGGCGACGGTTTCACAGATCGCAGCCCCCCAGGGACGGCGAGGTCTAATTTGAATTCGCCCGTGGCGTCACTGTGCTGGGCCCCCCAGCAGGCTTCGAAAGTGGCGACAGTTTCACAGATCGCAGCCCCCCAGGGATGGCGAGTCTAATTTGAATCTGCCCGTGGCGTCACTGTGCTGGGCCCCCCATCAGGCCTCGAAAGTGGCGATAGTTTCACAGATCGCAGCCCCCCAGGGACGGCGAGGTCTAATTTGAATTTGCCCCTGGCGTCACTGTGCTGGGCCCCCCAGCAGGCCTCGAAAGTGGCGACAGTTTCACAGATCGCAGCCCCCCAGGGATGGCGAGGTCTAGTTTGAATCTGCCCGTGGCGTCACTGTGCTGGGCTCCCCAGCAGGCCTCGAAAGTGGCGACAGTTTCACAGATCGCAGCCCCCCGCAGGCAAGACAGGAGGAGGCAAGAGGGAGGCGGGACGGGAAGAAGGGAGTGGAGACCACACTGCTCTATTCAAAACGAATACCCAACCAAGCAGGGTTGGGAAAAACAGCCCTGTTGCACATCGGGTCCCCCCCCAAAAAATAAAACATGGAGGGGAGGGGGAGGGGGAGGGCTCCCTTCCCCGAAGGGGAGAGGGGTCGTGGAAGAGGAAGGAGACCCTCGTTAGACCACCTATCGTCCAGAGGGCTGGTGGGATTTGTAACATGTAAGCGCCTGCGGCGGGCTTCTTCAGAGCTTCGCAGGCTGCCGCCGCCCCCGCCGCCCCCTCACTCTTATCCGCGACTGCGGGGTGCTACGGCTTAGTTTTTTTCCGGCTGTTGGTGACCATTCTGGAGCGTGGGACGGACAAAACATACTCCGGGGTGAAAGGCCAACCCCAGGCAGGGGGTTGAGCGCTCCAGGGGTCCATGTTGCAAGCGTGTGACGTCGGAGGTCTGGTGAGGACGACGACGCCGACTACCCCGACGGCGCTGGTAGTGCCGAGTACGCCGATCATGAGTGGAGCGGCAGTGGCAGCTATCCGCTGTATGGCGCGGCGTCAACGTGGGGCGCCGCAGGTGGCGGCGGCGACGCAGACCCAGGAAGCTCAGGAGCCGCATCGGTGGCCACCACTGCCAGCGCCACGGGGGCCGCCCCCAAGTCCGCGGGGGTGTCGCGACGCTGCGCGCTGCCGCCAGTGCTGCGACACACGCAGGCCGCGGGTGCCCCGGCGGCCACCGCGGCCTGGCAGGCTCCCGAGAGGGGCGGCATACCCACGGGACCTGCACTGCGAAACGCGCAGGCCGCGGGTGCCCCGGCGGCCGCCGCGGCCGAGCAGGCTCCCGAGCGGGGCGGTATACCAACGGGGTACCAGGCGCCTCCACCGCGCGCGGTGTCGGCCACGCCCGCCGCGCCACCTGCGGTGGCGACGGCGTCGAGGCCATCCCTTGCGGCGTGGAGCGCGTGCCCGCGGGACCACGCCGCGCCCGCGGCGGCGGCGGCGGCGGCGGCTGCGCGCGCGGAGCCCTGCCACGAGGTCGGCGGCCTCGCCGCGTCCGCGGCGGCGGCGGCGCGCGCGGAGTCCCACCGCGAGGCCCGGGGCCTCGCCGCGCCCGCGCCAGCGCGGCCGGGCGCCGCGGCGCCCGCGCCAGTGCCGGTGCACGTGGCGGTGGTCGGCGAGGCCTTTGCGCCGGGCTGGAGCGCGCGGCCCGCGCCCGCGGCGCGGCTGGGCCCCACCCTGCCGGCGCACCACGTGCAGCCGGCCGCCGCGCCGCCGCCGCCAGGCTGGGGCGCGTTGGCCGCACCTGCAGCGTGGGCGGGCCCCGCCCCTCCAGGCCCACGCTGGGACGAGCAGGCCGCGCGCCCGCCTGCGCAAGGCGCCCATGCGGTGCGTGGCGCCTGCGTAGAGCATCATGGCATGCTGCGCGAGGCCAGCGGGCCCACGGCACGGCCCCTCGCCGGGGAGCAGGCTGCCGCCGTGCCATTGGCGTGCGCAGCTTGGGGCTCTCGCGAGGAGCCCTCGTCACAGGCGTTCGCCGCTCGCCGCCCGGGTGGCACCGCGCACTGCTCTCCCACATCCGCGGCTTCCGCCGTCGGAGGCGCCCCGCTGCCTCCAGCCCATGCGCTGGCGTGCTACCACTCGGCACCGGTCGATGCAGAGGCGGCCGACGAGGAGGCCGCGCGTTGCCCCCCGAGGGCCGTCCGCCCGCCCGAGCTTGCGCCGAGGGCGCCGGCGGCGCCAGCTGCGCGGGCGGCAGCTGTTCCGCTGCCCCCCTCCGAGTGGATGATCGCTGGGGGGGCGCCAGAGGTCCGGGCCTCCCAGAGGGAGTCCAAGGAGTTAGATGGGGTCGAAGGGTTGCGCCGCAGCGGCGATGCATCGCAGATGCGGCTCGATGTGGATCCCGATTTTCTCCACGCTGGCACCGATGCGTCGCCGATGCATCGCCGATGCATCGCCGATGCATCGGCAATGCATTGTCGATCAGGCGCGATCCTCCGACCACCTCTGACTCCATCTGCTCGGATCCCCTTCGTCGACTACACGTAAGAATGGCCCTTCGCTGGAGTGACCTTTGGTGCGGGCCCATTGGGGTTCCCCGATCGCCGAGCGCGATGCGAACGTCCTGCGCTCTTATGTTTGGCCCCCCCGCGGTCCTCCAAAAGCTGCGCACCATAGGTCACTCTCACCCAGTCACTCTTGCGTGTCGCCGAATCTAGGAGGCCTCTAAGAGGGTGCCCTGCCATCCGAATGGATGCTCGCTGGGGGGGCGCCAGATGCCGCCGTGCCGGCGGACCCGGTCGCGGCGCCCGACGCGGGGCTGCGGTCGGAGCCGGCGCCAGCACCGCAGGCGGCGGGCGCGCCCAAACCCCCGTCGTGGGAGATGCCGGAGCGGCGCCCGCACACGCTGGAGGTGGAGCTGGACGAATTGGAGCTGCTGCCTGCCGCTCCCAACCTCGCGCCCTCGTGGTACGAGGCTTAGTTGATGTTGAAACGCCGAGGGCGTATCTTTTTCCGTCTTTGACTGTTCGGGTTTCGGCCAGCCAGAACGGAGCAACAAGTACACCCCAAACACACATGAAACAAAAGCACGGAAGTACAACACGGAACCGAACAGAATCCCGGCGCGAACGAGGCTCCACAAATTGCAAAATAACAACGATTTTGAAACAAGCAACGCCCCCAGCGTTCTAAGCATTTTCTGAGGTACGAGGGCCTTCGGTACTACGTCTCCTTGCACCCGACCTCCGAGCAGTACGAGGACGTCCCCGCGCCGCGCGAGGCGCCTCGCGCCACGGCGGACGGCAGCCACCTCGTCTCGCAGATGCAGCCGCCCAGGAGTCCCGAGGTGCAGGTCGAGGGCCCGGCCGCGGGCGCGTGCCCCGTGGTGCGCTTTGGCGAGAGCCTCGTGCTGCGCCTGGAGCAGTTCGAGAGCGGACTGGTCGCCTACGTCTGGGCCCGGAAGGCGCTTAAGTATTGCAAGTCATGGGGGCCGTGTTTTTCCCTCGAAGTTTCATCTTGAAAGCGCCTCAGCGTGCGCTAGCGCATGGCAATCGATGAGAACGCGCCGAGCTAGCGTCGATTTAGCATGGGTAGCGTCGGGTAGCGTCGATTCGCGTCGGTCAGCGCCGATTTGTGAAAGCCAGCTAGATGTCATGGGAGGCTCCCTTGAGTTGCCATCGAACGGAAGGCGTCAGTGCTGGGCGAGACGTTCACGCTCGTCGGGCGCGCCACGGCTCCCCTGCATAGGTTCGACCTCCAGCGCCGCCCGGCGGCCTGGCAGGTGCTCAGCCCCGTCGGCGGCTCGCCCGTGGCCCTGCTGAGGCTAAAGTACGCCATCTGCACCACGCCGGGCGCCGTCGGCCGGCCCGCAGTGGCCGACGCCCAGCAGACGGAGCTGCGGATCCGGTGGGCCGCGCCGGAGATCGGTGACAAAATCCGAATCCTACCATCGCCGGTCAACGATTGAGGCAACTCGACGGGCGGCGAGGATAACGGTGCGGAGTTCGTCGGACACGTGGCGAAGTCCGAACCCTACCCCCGCCTCCCATCAAGTCAGGAGAATCGCTAGTTGGTGGGCGTAGGGCTCGGATGTCGCCACCTAGGAGAAGGACCACGGGGCCCCCGTGGTGGGCTACAGGCTGGCCATCGCCATGCCCAGGGCCGGTCCGAACGAGGCCCCGGAGTGGCTGACACTCTGCGAGTGCACCAAGTCCCTGAAGCCAGTGTATGTCATCACAAACTTGACGGGCAACACGACTTACGCCGTCAGCATCCAGGCGGTCAACAAAGTCGGAGCCGGCGATCCCTGCGAGTTCCAGGTGTCCACCGCGCCCGTGCCGCCAGGCCCACCGGGCAGGCCGCGGATCGAGGAGGTGCGCGACGGCTGCTTCAGTGTGGCCTGGCGCCCCGCCCAGTGCGACGGCGGGTGCCCGATCATAGCCTACAAGGTCCGGATGCGCAAGATCCTGGGAGCGACGAGGCTCCAGGCCGCCTAAATGGAGCCTGAGCAGATGGGGTCGGGTGATCGCACCGCACACATCGGCGATGCTGCGGGGTAAGGAGCCCATTGCCATCCTCGTCGCCGACGCATCAAGGATACAACGGCGATTCGACGCGATCCTTCGACCCCAGCTGCTCTTGCCCCATTTGGGCGGCATCTGGAGGTGGAACCCATTCGGGCCTGGTGAGTCGCAGGCTTCCTGGTCGGACATGGGCACGGTGGCGACAGGGCATCCTAACAAGAGGGGCGACCAGGTGGTCTCCACTTGGATTGGCCCACTGGAGCCATGCGCCTGCGAGTACCGCTTCCAGGTGAGGGGCGCCCAAAAAGGGGCTCGGCTGCACCAACAATGGGGAGTCAGCTGCCCGCGCAAGGCCTGGCGTAGGGGCCTTCTTTTCCACGCGGCGTGCCGCGACGGCGGGCTGCTTAAGCCACTGCGCAACCCTGAGATCCGACGTCGCGAAAATTTGCGACCAGAGCCCTAGACCCCATGTTTCTGCTGCATTTCTCAAGCTGGATCGTTCTGATGGCCCTGGGGCCCAGAACTGGTCGAAAACGCCTGGTCTGAAACAAGTGCACCGCGCGGACTTCAGGGAAGGTCCTTGTGCGATTGTCCGTGAGACCATTTTTTCTTCCATCGCTCAGGTCGTGGCGCTCAGCCGCGCCGGGGAGGGCGTGGGGTCCGAGCTCAGCGAGCCCCAGTACACGTGACGGCGGCGCGCGCCAGGCGTGCTGGTCGGTGGGGCTCGATGTGTGCGCCTCGTCGTCTGGTCGGCCAGGGAGCCACAGAAATCGTCGAAGGGATTCGGCGTGTAGACGCTCTAGCATCCCGCGGCGTGGAAAACTGGGGCGTCTAAACACGGCTCCCTGGCCGACCCTGGCGACTTGGTGTATAGGTCGCGCACCGCCCAGCTTGAAAGGGCCCGCTCTCATCCTCTCCCTCCTCGACACAGCATGACGCGGAATGAAGTCTTCACAACGCTCTCTGCTCAGAGGTGGGCGGTGCGTCAATCACTTGCGCCGCCGCGTGAGCCGACCAAAACAATCAGAGATGCAGGGCAACGAGCTCCAAGTAAATAAAGCACGTCCAGGCATGCGCTGGGGGCCCATGGACCATGGGCACAGCAGCGGATGTCTAGACATGCTTTCCTTGGAGCGGGCGGGCGAGACCTCACCCTTCGGCCATGGATGAGGTCTCGTCCGCTCGTCCTCCTCGTCCTCCTGCTCCACCAGCGCGCGCGGGCAGCGCACAGAAGTCGGCGGCGACGATCGGGGCGAGTCGCCCAAGGGGGAGCAATCATTATTAGATGTATCCTGAGGCGTCGATGGTCCATACAATGTCCGCCCATGGGCTATTCCTGTTTATCGTCGCCTCCGAAGGAGGGAGGAGGACTAAGAAGAGGAGGAGGAGGAGGAGGAGGAGGAGGGGGAGGAGGAGACAGAGGAAGAGGAGAAGGTGAGGAACGCTGGGTCTCCGGGGTCTACAGGGGGTCTTAGGAAGTTCCTGGAGATCTCTGGGCTGACCTCCAAAGGTTTCTGGGAGGTGTCTGGCGGCCAGAGACCGATGGACGCCTGCGGAGGTGGATTGTGAGGGAAATGACGGAGAAGGGGGGAGGGAGGAGGGAGGAGTGATGAGGATGAGGAGGAGGGTGGGAAGGCGGATGAGGAGGGATGAGGAAGGAGTTTTCAATGCGTAGGGAAGAAGGACGAGGACGACAATGACGATGAGAACACGGACAAGGTGGATGATCAGGAACCCTCCCCCGCCGGCCACGCGCGCCCAGGATGGCGACCAGCTGTCCTGCCGCATTTGCTTGATGGAGGGCTCAACTAGGGAAGACCCGCTGGTGAGGCCCCCAGGAGGAGGAGGAGGAGGATGAGGAGGAGGAGGAGGAGGAGGAGGAGGAGGAGGAGGAGGAGGGAGGAGGAGGAGGAGGAAGAGGAGGAGGATGTTGGAGGGGGATGAGGGAGCAGGCGGAGGAGGGGGCGGAGGGGGAGAAGGAGTGGGGAGGCGGAGAGGAAGGGGGAGGAGATGTTTTGGTAGACGGCGCGATAATGGTATCGCCTGGAGGAGGAATCACACCAAGACTTGCCTCACATCTGGGCGGGTGGATTCCGAAATGGTCCCTGTCGCGGAGGAGAGAGGGGGGGGGGCGATCAAGGATCAAGGAGTAAGGCACGAGGGTCCGCTGCTCCGCCCCCGCCCGCCTGGCTACCGCGCCTGGGGGGCCGCATGCATCGTGATGCGCGCCCACAGTGTCCAGACGCGGGAGAGGTGGAGGCAGTGGCTCTGCGAGGTGGCCCGTCAGAGCTACCCACGACACCAGACGAGTGATGCTCATCCTCTCGGCGCCCATGCGTCCATTCTCCTGCACAGCTAGCAATCGCATATCGGAGCGTCCGATCCACAACCGGCACACGCTCATGACATGGATGCGGAAACCAACCAGGCCACGCATTATTGACGTCTGATGTGTAGCATCCCGCGCCGATCATCACGAGGGAAGACGACAACACTACAACACCACGAAGCGAGCCCTCCAATGCACAGAACAACGCCGTGCAGCTTCGCACCCAAGTTACTTCCTGTCGAAGAGAGCCACTGCAGATAATACAATCAGTACGTAGCACCCCGCAGATACGGATAAGAGTGAGGGGGCGATGGGGACGTCGGCAGTCTGCGAGACTCTGGAGAAGTCCGCCGCAGGCGCCAAAGTTTCACAAATCATAAAACGAGCCCGCCGCAGGCGACGATTTTTCGTTAAACCGATGTGGGTAGGTCGCGGGAGGGTCGCGGGAGTGTCGCTGGTGGGTTGCGGGGTGGGTCGCGGGGTGGGTCGCGGGTGGGTCGCAAGTGGGTCGCGGGTGGGTTGCGGGTGGGTCGCGGGGTGGGGCGCGGGGTGGGTCGCGGGGTGGGTCGCGGGTGGGTCGCGGGGAGGGTCGCGGGTGGGTCGCGGGTGGGTCGCGGGTGGGTCGTGGGTTGGGTCGCGGGTGGGTTGCGGGTGGGTCGCCGGGTGGGTCGCGGGGTGGGTCGCGGGTGGGTCGCGGGTAAAACGACGACAACAAACAAATATCAACAACGCGACAACGCAACAAGCAGAATCCTCACCACGTATCCCCACCTCAGCCAAGCACCCAGGGACAATGAATGACCGTTCGGCCCCCTCACTCTGATGTGGGGCATGCCTGGCCGAAAACGGCGTCTTGCCAGTCTACTGCGGCCACCACGCGCTCGATGATATGACTGCCCAGCATATGCTCAAAGGATGGTCGCGTGCTTTCTGGAGCAGCCTTGAACACAACATGCTGAACGTTGCGAACAACACAACGTATAAAAAGGTCGCAACAGCACACAGGCGTAGTTGGTTGGTCAACATCTGGAGCCGCCTTGAACACAACATGCTGAACGTTGCGAACAACACAACGTATAAAAAGGTCGCAACAGCACACAGGCGTAGTTGGTTGGTCAACATCTGACATAGCGGGGCATGCCTGGCAACATGGTTATTCACGCCCACTATGTTGCTTACCTGCTTGTCGAAACTGTGGCCAGTTTTGGTGACGTAGTGGTTGACCGCCTAGTCCGCAGCCTGGGGATTGAACAAACCATACAATTTTCCGCAGCGCGACGCTTGGCGCTCCCCCTCAACTCCGAGGATTGGTCAAAGATACTGGCCCCGTATGTCTTGCCTCACTCGGTGCGGATTCCACGGCTACCTGGTTCGAGCCTGCTTCGGTTTAACCGAAATGGCTAGGGTCAGAACGAGGGTGGAGGGGGGAGGAGGGCGGAACATTTGACAGGGGGGAGAGGGGGCTTAATCGAGGGGAGGAGGGCGGAACAGTTGACAGGGGGGGAGGAGGAGGAGCCACATGGGCAGGGGAGCGGAGAGGGAGGAGGAGCGGACGGGAAGGCGGAGGACGGAGGGGAGGGGTCAGAAGAAGGAGGAGCTGCAGCAGCAGCAGCAGCAGCAGAGGGGAGAGGATGAGGGGAGGAGGTGGCCCCTCTCTTCCCGCTCCTTTTTTAGCCTCCCCTCCCTCCCCCCCCCTTTCTCCCTCCAGTTTTATCCTCCGAGCCACACCCCCATCGCCATCCTATCCTCTGCCCCGCCCCTCTTGTCTTCCATCCACTCGCTTCTCGCCCGCACTCTCCGTCAGTCTCCTGAAGTGCCTGCCCTGCTTTTCCTCCCCGCTACGACTGAAAGTTGCACCTCCCCTCCTTCCCCTCTCTCCCCAAGAAGTCCCCTTCCCTCTCGTCCTCCTGCCCATCGCCTCTCATCGGTTCGCTTCACCCCACATCAGCGGTCCCCCATTGCGCCAGGCTTGATCCATCTCGTTTAGTGAAGACTAGCACAGCGTGGAAACACGGATTGCGCCTCCTGTCCAGTGATCGTTTTTTGTGTATTGTTTTGCCGATCGGCGCGGGCCTTCGCACCGTCCCACCCCCCTCCATGTAGTTGATCTTGGCTGTTTTTGGCGCCTGTCTCAAGCAGGTGGAGTCTCCCCCATAGGACTTACTGTTGCAAACAGTCGCGTTGAGCAGAGGTCCAGAGCCAGACACCCCCCCTCCCCCCTCCACTTCCGCCCGATGTTGAAACGCCGAATAGAAAACGTTCACCAGGTACGCGTGTATCCGTCGCATGTCACATGCGCATCGGTTGCCCGGTCCCGAGCTTCCAGCCAGCGGCACGACCAAGAGTGTCAATGAATCCTGTACTTCATCCAAAAGTATCATGGCTGTCATGACTTCCGAGAATGGCATCTGTGATATTCAAGCGTTCAGAAACGCCGTCCGTGAGTTCCAAAGTCTTCGTGAACGGATCCGATCGAGCTCCTGATCTGGATCATTGGAATTCTCTGGTGGTGGTGGGGATGGGATTCCCGGAATTGTTGGCATTCCTGGAATTTATGGATTGTTTAATTTGTTGAGGTTTTGGTACAGGATTGGGTAGCGCATCGGCATGTTGATTTCGTAGACGGGCGCTTCTTCATCAAGATATACACATGTTTACGCCTGTATCACCTTTTCCACGCATGTGATTGCATTAATCGCTGGTTGTCGGTGTACATCCCTTTCCTTCTCCTGCTGCCTTGCTTCGCACAGTACTGTGCCATTGCGTTGCTGACTCCAGTTCTTCTCGATCTTCCTCGTCTAGTGTTGGGTGCATGAGGAGCGGCTTAGTAGGCCATCGCGGCCCGGGACATAAACATGTGACTGGACGTCGGTCGAGGGCGGATAATTTGCAGTAGGACGTGCCGTTTGTGTCTCCGCTCTCGTTCTTCTTCTTCTTCTGCCTCGTCCTCCGCCAGCTAATGCGCGAGAGGCTTCTCAAGGGCTGGGTTTCGCGCATACAAAGTAAGCAGTTGGCTGTCAATGGGCACCATGGCGGTTCAGTTGGACATCTAAGTTGGCACATGGGCAGCACTAGCGGGCTCAGTCTATATAGTTGGCAGCCCCCTGCAAAAGTGGTGAAAGCTGTGCTCCTCGCCTTATCTGTGACCGATGCGTTTCATTTGGTTGTTGACCCCGCGTCAGCATGACCGAACGTTACGACCCAACATCTCCAAATGAGATGCGTGCGCCCGTTGCTGATTTCAGCCGTCGTTCCTGTCGCTGCTGTGGTCGTCGCCGCAGTGGTCTTCGCATACCGTCCATTCCCCTTTCTCCCTCGCCGTATCTCCGCTTCGTCCCCCTCTCCTTCTCTCCAGGCAAGAGGCGTGTGCTGGCCTGGGCTTGCAGGCGGGTTCAGCCGTTGCGACGGGGAGGCCCAGAAGAAATGCCAGCGAGAAAACAGAAACCTCAGTCTTGCACCGTCGAGCCCCCTCCTCCCCCTCGAGGCCCGGATTCCGCCAACACGAGTGCCCGGAGCTGGATCCTTCTCTGGGTCCAGCCTGGCTGGTTCTCATCCAGGATCGGTATTCGACGGTGCCCCCCCCTCTCCCCCAGAGGTCGAAAGTGGCGAAACAAAAAAAAAAAACATAAGTCGAACCTCGATCCCTTCCCCCTTCCGTTTCAGGATCCGTTGTGTTCTCTCGTTTTGACGTTCTCGTTCGAAGTCGAGCCGTTTCGGTTCGGGTCCGTGTTGTGACAATTTTCTGTTGTTTGGGGTTGCCGCTTTTCTCCCGTTCTGCTTGACCGCGAACGAAACATTTCAACACGGGGGCGAAACGCTCCAGCGTTTTTTACCCTCGACAGTCAGCCCTCTTCTCCTCCCCTCCCCTCCCCAGCTGCGCACCCCCCCTCCCAGGGGGAGCTCGGGGGCGCCCGCGCGGCGCCCGCCACGCGGCGAGGCCTTGCCAGTGCAGGGGCACGATCGAGTACGTCCACGTGCGCCGCCCGCGCGCGGAGGGGTCCTGCGGGGTCCCGGTGGTGTCCTGGGGACGGGGTCCTGGGGGGGGTCCTGCGGGGTCCTGCGGGGTGCCCGAGGGGTCCTGGGGGAGTCCTGCGGGGGGAGGAGCGGGATGCCAGGGGAGGGATGAGGTCGGGTCCAGGCCTCTTCTCAGATGGGGTCAGAGCAGCTGGGGTCGGAGGATCGCCGCGTCGCCGATGCGTCGTCGGCGGCTCGATGCGGAGCCCGATTTCCTCCACGTCGGCGTCGCCAATGCATCGGCGAAGCGGCGCGATCCTCCGACCCCATCTGCCCTGGCTCCAACTGGGAGGCACCTTACCTGGGGCAACTCCAGGGGGGATTCGGAGAAGGAAGCTTCTTGGCAGTTTTTGTTTGGCTTCGGGGGTCCCTTGCAGGCCCCTGTGACCGCCGAAAAACGGGCCGTGGTGAAATGCGGGCCCTGGGGAGAGGGTCGGCATTTCTGTGGACCGCGCTCTCAACAGATCTGAACATCGCACGTCTTCGAAGAAGGTACCGAAGCCGCTACTCTTCGCCCGTTTCCGCCACCTGGGGCCTCCTAGGAGGCCCTCGCCATCCCGGCTGAATTCTTTCTGACATTCTGGAGATCACGCACTCTGAAAGAGGTCTAGGAAGTAGCGGTATCAGTATTATGTGGTTTCCCCAGGAGCAGGCGCAGGGGGGAGGGAATTCGGAGGAAGGATTTAGGAGGAGGGAGCAGGGCAGGAAGTGGGAGGTTAGGGGCAACGCAGGGAGGGGGGTACGATATGTGTGGCGTGAAGTTGATGTCGCCCCCGCCTGTACATGGGCGCCTGGGGGCGCCGGGAAAGCCAGCTACGTGAGCTGAGGAGGAGGGGCCGAGGAAGCGCAATCATGGATGAGCGTGCGTGGGTGATCGGCGGCGAGCGATGGATGGAAGTGAGAAGGAGGAGAGGCGGCAGGGCTCCTCGGAAGCCCTCGCGCCGTCTGACGAGCTCTCTGTGTGTTCGGGGAAGGCTTACGTAGAAAGATTCTCAGGAGGCTCGGGGACTTCCGAGCCTTCTGGGAAGACCTCCTCCTTCTCACTCCCCCCCCCTCCCTCGCCGCCGAGATTAGGGACGGGCCCCGTTCCCATACGAAACCTGCACGCTCCGTGGCCAAACCAGGCGGCATGGACTGGTATCATCGAAGGAGGGATGGCGTCACGGGCAGCATTGGGGGGGATAGGCTCAGGGGGTGACGCATCGACCCCCGATCGCCCATTCCTCGCCGATTGGAGGGGCTCGATGGCCCACCCCGCCCATGAACCAGCCGATGATCGGGGGCCTAGCGCCGATCTATCGGCAATGTATCGCCGACTCCAGGCCGGTGATCCCCCCATGGGCCGGTCCCCCACTCCATCGTTGCCCCTCAGAGGAGGGGAGGAGGTGTGAGGGGGGGGGCTGCCGGGCTGACTGACTCGAGAAGGGCACGGCTGCAGGCGTGCCGCTGTGATGGCCACGAGAGGCGGGACTGATGGGCAGAGGGTGCAGGTGAGGCGAGGACGACAGCTTGGTGCACGGGCGCGAAGCGGGCCTCGATTGGCCAGGTACCCCTGGGACCGACTTGATAAGCGGCGCTGGGCCAGGAACCAGGATGCAACTTCTGGGAGGTTTAAGTCTGCATTGGCGCTGGAGATCCCGTTTTCGAAAACCAGCACCATCCCGCTTAATCCAGCGCAGTCGTGGTCTTCGTCAGGGCTACTCCAGTTCAGTGTTCTTCTAATCGGGCATAGTAGCTTTTAATCGTTCTGTCGAGTGCCTAACAGGATTTGCCTCCTGAGAGGAGGAAAGGAGGAGCAGGAGGAGGAGGAGGAGCAGGAGGAGGAGCAGGAGGAGGCAATTAGAGAAAGGGGGAAGAAATCGATAGGCCCAGTAGCTAAACTTGCGCGAGGGCATCGGCTCCTACCGCGAAGGACACGGTCGTTCCTATTGTCCGTGCACCCCCGCCTGGACGGCAGCTGCCAACCTGCTCTCGGGAGGAGAAGGGCAGGGATGAAGGAAATAGTGATTCGGAGGAGGAAGGCTGCAGCTGGTGTGTGTGTGTGTGCGTGTACAAGTATGTCCTGGCATGCTGCCTGTGGTACCTAAGCTGATATATAGCGCTGCGGCAATAATGCCCTGGCCGTGGTACCGTGCTTGATCGAACTCTGGCCCACGCGCGGTCCCAAGAGGCAGAGGTGGGCCTCAACGTAGTACGGTAGCTTGCGCAAGCTTTACTTGAAGCGCGCCCAGTGGCACTCCTGAGTGTTGTCCATCTCCGCCACTTCAGCAATATATGCAGGAGTAGATGATAAGTGCCATAGTGCTGGTGGGAGAGGGAGTGAGGGCGAGGGGGGAGGCGGGGGTTGAGATGGAATCAGTGGGGCAACGGCGATGGGGAAGCAGAAGGGGAGGGGGGCGGGGCCAACGTTGGCCCGTCACCTCCCACGCTCGTCCTTAATCGCGGCCAGCTTCCCGCCTGGAAGGAGGGAGGAGGAAAAGAATGAGGCGGGGCGCCATGCGAAATGGCCTTCGGCCGCATAGGTGGGTAACGAAGACGGTGTAGTGAGGGACTGCGCGTAAAACGAGGCACTTGCGTGTTCGTTCAGACGCTTGTCGTCTACATCTCTTCATCTAGGGCCCACTTCTTCCAACATTGACGACCCCATGTCGCCGCCTTCCAGCCATCGTGTGTTCTCTCTTCTTCCTCCCTCCCCCTTTTCCTCCCTCCCCTTGCCTCCCGTTCACCTTGCGCTTTCCCTCATCCCTTCCTCCTTCCCTCCCTTGCCCCTCCCTCTCCCCTCCCCCCTTCCATCCTTTGCCCCTTCCCTCCCCTCCCTCTCCCCTTGCACCTTCCCTTCCTTGCCCCTTCCCCCCCCTTCTCTGCCTCCGGTCTTCTCTTCCCTACCTGCCTGCCCCCCCGTCCCTGGCATCCCACTCTTCCTGGCAGTCGCCCCCCCCCCCTCCCGCCTGTCCTTTGCGTCCAATCCGGTCGTTCATTTCTCTCTTTCCTGTGCCCTGCCCCTTGCTCCCCCCATCTCTCGCTGTCTGGCCGTCCCCACCGCTTCCCCACCGCACTCAGGTAGGCTGCCTTCGCTTGTGGATCGAGGACCGCCTGGACACTCGAGGCCTCCAGCAATCCCTTGTATTGTCTCTCGCTCCGGGCAGGATTGTCATCCAGATACACAGCGTCTTAGACGCCACCAGACCGAGGCGCAGTGGATATGGATGACAATCTGGCCCCTAGGGCGCCATATTCCTGTTTAGATCCACTGCTCCTCTGGTTTCTGCTGAAGGGGGCCGGAAACTCCAAGACGCAGTGGATACGGATGCAAATCTTGCCCGCATGTGCTGCAACTGCTGCTGCTGCTGCTGCTGCTGCTGCTGCTGCTGCTGCTGCTGCGCGCGTGCAGTCTGGGCGGGCGCGCCAGTTTTGCAATCCCGTGCTCGCGTCCCAGACAGTGAGCGGCCACGCCCGCAAGATCTGTCTCAACGTGCAGTGGTTGAATGCCCCTTCCTTGCGGCAAGGTGCCGACGTGTTTGTGTGTTACATTCACGCCCGCAGGCATGCGTTTCAGGTTCCCAGGCGCATGAATTTCGATGTGCGAGCGCATTGGGTACGCAAAGCCCATCCGTGCCGCAACGACCACCTTCAAAATCAGAAGCCCCAATCGATTTAATTGATTTTCCTTAGGGAATCGCAGGAATGGCTCATCCGGCCGCAGCCAGCCTTCCATCTCTTCGCGAAGCGCCTTAATGCGCCGGTCTCGTCTAAACGCCGGATGGCGCGCAAACACGGCAACCGTGCAGGCCTCACATCCACGCATACCCCTCTCTGCTGGAGAGAGGTCTCTTCATCCGCTTCCTCCTCTTCCTTCTCCTCCTCCTGCTCCTCCTCCTCCTCCTCCGCCTCCTGTGTATCCGCTGGGGCAAGGGTGGGAGGCGGGTCTCCTGGTGGGGGGCTCATTGGAGGACCCACACCCATCCTTCCCACGACCAGGGTGCCCCGCCATGGCGTGCGTAGGGGTGCGGAGTCGCCCGAGGAAGTGGCGCCCCTCGGGTAGCTTGGGGCGGCGTGACCTGGAGGAGACGAGTCGTTATCTGAGGCCGGTCACGGCTCCAAAATGATGATGCTCAGGGTGAACGCTACGCTCCAGAGGAGTGCGCACGCACGAACGGACGAGCCCGCAGGCGCCTCAGGGCGAATGTGTCTGCCTTGCTTTTCTTCCGCCCTTCGGAGGCACTGTCTCTGTGTAAAGGCGGTGGGGGTTGGTGAATGTTGGGGCTTCGGTTTGTTTTTACCGCTCATGTGATGGCGGTAATCCTATTAGTCCTTTCCCGCCTCGTCGCCGACCGTGGGCATCGCGTCGGGGTCAGAGCAGTTGTCCCAACCTGCCATGGGGAGCTCTGTGCCTGCGACTGTGCATGTCCATACCCACACGAACGACCCAGGGGACGCACCGACGGGAGCGGCCACATGGAACGGCCCCGTGGAGTCGAGCACCACGCGCACGGCAGCATCCTTGCCGACACTGCGTCTGCCTTCGGTTTCTTCGAGGAGGGCCTGAGCGTCCGCGCCGGGCGGCTCCGGCGGCGGCAGGGCGTAGCGCGGAGACCCGCACCTTCGCACGTTTGATTCCTCCTTCTCCTCCTCCTCCCGCTCCTCCTCCTCCTCCTCCTCCTCCTCCTCCTCCTCCTCCTCCTCCTCCTCCTCCTCCTCCTCCTCCTCCTCCTCCTCCCCCGCCTCCTCCTTCGATTCGTGTAACAGCTACCCATATTGATGCAAGAAAGCAAGCAGAGGTGGGGATGGATCTGAAACCTTTGGCCAGGTGCCACCCGCTCCCACGGGCGTACCTGTCTCCTGGTGTGGATGACCCCGCGGTGTGTGTGTATGTGCGTTCATGTGTGCGTATGTGGGTTTGTGTGTGTATGTGTGTATGTGTGTATGTGTGTATGTGTGTATGTGTGTATGTGTGTTTGTGTGTTTGTGTGTTTGTGTGTTTGTGTGTGTGTGCGTGTGTGTTTGAATCTGGGGAAGAAAGGACCGCTCGTCCCCGCCACGTTCCCCTCCGCAGCCCTCTCCCCGTTCTCCCTGTCCCCCCCCTCCCTCTCTCCATCCGCTCCCTGTTATGTTGCTACTGGTCCGTCTCCCCCTCCTCCCGCCGAGTCCCGTTGTCGGATCGAGCAGAGCTGATGGAGTCTTTTGTGGAAACTTACGCGCCCTCACGCCCGCGGCCTCGCCTCGCTTCCCTCTGCCCAGCAGGAGCAGCAGCAGGTCGAGGACGAATACGAGGATGAGGATGAGGAGGAGGGAGGAGCAGCCCGAACAGGAGCAGGAGCAGGGCCGAGGAGGAGGAGGAGGAGGAGGACGAGGAGGAGGAGGAGGAGGAGGAGGAAGCGGAGGATGACGAGATGCGCGCTTCGAGCGAGCGGTCAGGCGGCAGTGGCCGGGCGGGGGCCGCGGAGTGGGATCGGGAGCGGGGGCGGCACGGGGGGGAGTCGGCCGCAAGTCCAGTCGAGTTTGATTGGTACAGGAATATAGAGGGCATGGGTCGCTAAACACAGGACACAAGGGTATCCTTGACTCGGTAGGGTCGGCCTACTGATCGAATTCGACTGTAACAGTGACCCATCGCTGGGGCGACCTCTGGGGCGGACCCACATGGGTCCCCTCCAGCATTGGCCTGCGCGTTTGGATTTGGCGACCCCCGCGGCCCCTTGAGGCCTCGCACCAAAGGGCACCCTTGCCCGTGGTCGCTCTTTCGTGTACGGTAGGTCCGTGTCCTTCTGATGCGGCAGCGACCTTGCCGCGGACGTCGAAGGTCGAACGCCGCCAGTGGCCCAGAATCGGCCAACCGCCAACGATCTGGCGATCGAAAAGCCGCCGATCGTTCAAAGTGGAACAATCCACGCTGTGCTAGACGCCGACGTCCAGATCGGCATGACACGGACCTGCCGTAGCTGGGGATAGGTGGGGAGCAGGGATCGGGCAGGAGCGCGGACTGAGATGGGGCGGAGCAGCCAGGGCTGGAATCGGGGCATTGGCACCAGTAGGAGCGGTACCATCCTCATCGTCCCCGTGCCCGGGGCATCGCGGGGCCTTCCCGTGCATAGACATACGTGTCAATTGTCGGAGCTCCCCGCGGATCTATTTGATCGGCGCTGGGCCCCCCCTGGCGGCGCCCTCCGGCGCCACTCCTGGGGCACTCCGCGTGCCAGGGGGGGGCGTCCAGCGCAGCTCGAAGAGATCCGCGCGGAGCTCTGAAAGCTCATGCTTATGCCGTCTGTACTATTGTCCCTCAGGTCACCGCCGCCCGTCGTCGTCGTCGCCCGCCCCCGCCCGCCAGGTCGCGAGCACGGCTCCTACCACTGGAGGCCGTTGCCCTGCGAGTTGTGCAAGACCATCTACCCGGCCTACTGCCGGTCCGTCCGGGAGACCCGCGGCTTCTCTCCGCTCGGGCTGGCGGGGGCTGCAGGCCCAGACCGCCTCGAGCCAGGAATGACACTTCGGCGGAAGGATTCTCGCTAGGCTCGGCCTCTAGGGAGCCTCTTGGGGACCTCTTGGGGGCCTCTTGCGGCCTCCCCGGGCGCCTCTCGGGACCCTCTTGTGGCACGCTTGGGCGCCTCAGAGGCCATCTTGGGGCCATCTTGGAGGAGATCGATCAAGAGGGGGGTTGTTGATTACAGCCCCACCCCCAGGAGGCCAAAATGGGCCAAAGACCTAGGTACCATCAATGGTGTGTGCCTTCTCGTCGAGGCTATCTTGAACGCTCGAGTGGGTCGCGGGGCGCCTCGTCCAGACCCAAGGGGGGGGGAGGGGGCAGGGTAAGCCCCTCCCCAAAGGAAAGCAGAGGTTGGGATAGGAAACGCCCCGAACCAATCGCGCCCAGAGGGCTGGTGGGATTAGAACGAGTGCTTGCACTGTGATTGGGAGCGCCACGCCACCGAAAGTGTCACGAGCCTCCCCAGGCATCCAGCGCTCCAATGTTTGTCGATGCGTGGAACCCCAGAGGTCTGCACAGCTTCCCCAGAGCGGATTTTCTGTCCTGAGTCGGTCTTCGAAGGTCCTGGGGCCCGCTGAGGGCCCCCAGAGGCCGAAAATATCCCAACATTGGCTGCTCCAATTTATTATGAGCCTCGGATCTCTGGGTACCTGCTGTCTCGGCATTGTCAGACATCCAGCGTCTCGATCTTTTCGAGACACGGGCCCCCGACCTCTGGACCACTTACCTGGGACCAGGTTTTCATCCCGAGTCGTGTTGTTACGGTCCCGAGGCAAAATAAGGGCCCCGAGAGGCCAAAGGCGATGGAATAAACATAGATTCCAGTTTTTGTCCGAGACCTTGGAGATCTGGGTTGTTCAAGAGGTTCGCCGAGAGGTGAAGGTGTGCTGATGGCTGCCTTGCCGCGCGGGCATCTGCCATGCTCAGCTGGTCGCGTGCCTCCTCGGCGCCCAGCTGTCTTGGCCACAGGCAGCACGTCCCCGTCTTTACCCACGCATCCTCTGTCGAGTCGGCCTCAGCGACGCTAGACGTCATGGTAGCAGTTGAGCTGGTGGAACGGTGCCATCTTCGGCACCAGCGATCACAACGACGACGATCACAACGACAACGATCGGTGCTTCTCTCCTGCTGTTCTCATGATCGTTGATCGTTGCGTACAGCAGGAGACACGCATTGATCGTGGATCTTTGTTATCGTTGTTATCGTTGATCGTTGCCCGCATCTTCTGGCCGCCGCCGTCCTTGGAGTCGTCCTTGGCGTTCGCCTCGTCTGTGCCTCAGTCCGTGCTCTGCAGAGTTGCTGGCGGTGGCTCCTGCACGGCGGCAGGCAGCGGCTGTGGCCCATGGCCATGGCGCCAGTGTCATGGCGCCATGTCCTGCACACTGCAGCCAGCCATGCTTTCGGCAGCACCTCATTGGAGCCTTCTGTGTCCTCGAAGCTGCGTCTCCAGAGCGAATGAGCGTGCGATATCGTGGGATAGTCGATGAGAAGCGCAGAGTTGGCGTCGATGTGGCGTCGACTAGCGTCGATAAGCGTCGCTGAGCGTCCGTGAGCGGCGATTCACAAGAGCCAGCAAGACGGCATGGGAGGCTCCCATGATTTGCTACAGAGCATGCTCTCGAACATGCCAATGACTGGACCTCTTTGTCGTTCACCATGGGCGTGTATGGGATACTGATACTCTTCAGCATACTCATGGTTAACTGCGTTTATGATTTGCGATGACGGCTTGCCGCAGAACATTCTCTGATTCAGCTACGGCGCTGGTGCCCTCGCTCTTGTCCAGGTCCACAGGCACTGGGGCCCTGCAGCGGCACTGTCGGCGCAGCGTCTGGCAGCTTCTGGAATGGCGCCGCCCAGGCACAAACCCATGGCACAACAAGCATCGGCGCATTCTTCCGCATGCTGGTCGCCCGGGCGCAAACCGTCGGCACAGACATCGGAGCATCCTTCCACCTGCCAGTCGTGGCTTTTGGCATGTGCTCGCGACTGAGACAAGGTTCGGCAGAGGCCAATTGGAACTGGAAGGGCCCAAGGGGAACCGTCGGCCGTGCTGGGGATGCACCCGTCGCAACTGTCAGGCGGACGGCCAGCGAACACCCGAAGACCGAGGAACGGCAGGAGGTGCCTGGGGAGTTGCCTGCCGGCAGCGTGGATCTGCCCAATGGGAGGGGTTCGATGCATACAGCCAGGTCGCCGCGAAGAAGGAACCCTTTTCGTTGGGGAGGGGCTCAGTGTTCCTGAATGAACTGTCTTATAAGTTGTCTTAGGTTTTCCTCAGGTTTTTTGTGGGACATTGAAGTTTAATGTATGGAAACATGGGCCTCGCTCCTTAACTTTATAATGTATGGAAACATAGGCCTCGCTCCTTAACTTTAGGGTTCCTTAGGACAGCGGTTCGACTGCAAAGGGAGGGGCTCGATGTATACACCACGTCGTTTGGTCGGCCGAGCAGATCGGTGCATGGATGCCCCAACTTCTCAAGCTGTGGGGGGCTGGAGAGTCTGTGCACCAAATTCCTTCGCCGAGTTCATTGGCTCCTTGGTTGGCCAAGTAACGCGACTCAGAGCCCCGAGTCATCAGGGCTGGAGGCGGTCAGGTGTAACTGCAGATTCGCGCCTCGGGGGCCCAAACCTGAGGCACCCCGGACCACAGTTATCGCGGCGAACTCGCGCGTCTAACCCTTCCTAATCAGCAGGGCTGGGGGCAGTCAGGGGTAAGTGCAGACTCGCGCCGCGGGGGCCCCAACAGGAGTTACCCCTGACCGCAGCGATCGCGGAAAAGGTGGGCGTCCAAGTGACGTATGCATGGCGCGCTCCGGGAAGGCTCTCGCCTCCGAGAGACAGAGGGGTTGGCATCTCTTCCTCGGCGGAAGGCGGCGGGAGTACAGCGGGAGCGGCTCCGCCGGCGGAAGCGGGCAGAAGGCGGCGGAAGGAAGAAACGCAGCCCCGAGAGATGTCAGCACTTTCGGGGACCAGGGCGTCCGGCTGCCCGCGGGGCCCCCCGCTGTCTCCTCACCTCACAAAGAGCCGTTGGCCTGCAGCCCCGCAGCGGCACTTCTGGCGAGGCTGGCGGAGCGCCTGCGCGCTCGAGCGCCCTGGACTCCGTGGCGGCGCGCGATCAGAGCGCCCGGAGCGCCACGGAGGGTGCACTGTCCCGGCGTGGGCTAGCGTCTGGTAGTCGATGCGGAAACGCCGATTTTGCGTCGATTGGGGTCGCTTAGCGTCGATGCGGGAGGGCCAGCAAGATGACCCTGGAGGCTCCCATGATTCAGGGGAGGAACGAACACACCGACCCCCATGATCCAAGATAGCTGTCGGCACGGAGGTGGCCAGGCGGTAGCTCAGAGTAGTACACGATACTGATGCCGCTGATCTTCCCCGCCACGGCTAGATTCGCCTCGGAAACCTGGTCAGAACGCGTCCCAGGAGAGAGCCGTAGCGGTATCGGTATTTGTTTCTTCCCCCACGAGCTTGCAGTACCGAGAGGGGCGCCGTCTGAGCCGGTGTTTGGAGGCTTGGAGGGACTGAGCATGGGTCGTTTGTGTTTCAGTGCCCGTCTGTTTGTGAATTGCTGCCATGTCCCTAGGCGCTTCGGGTCATCGGCCGGCCCCCCCCCTTCGTGTTCCTCCGCATTCCGGCTCCTGCCCCTCCCCCGTCTTCTTCTTGCCTGCCTACCTCTTCCTCCTCCTCCTCCTCCTCCTCCTCCTCCTCCTCATTTTTCTGGCACTGTCTGTCGACGCCACTGCTGGTGCTGGTGGTGGAGCGACGGAGCTGCACATTCTCGGCGCAGACAATGACGAAGGCGAGCATGAGTGGCTCGCGGATTTACAGTTAGAGGAGCAGGAGGAAGAGAAGGAGCGCGAGGAGTTGAAGGAGGATGAGTTGAAGGTTGGGGCAGGGCAGAAGGACAGGGGAGACCCGAAAGAAACACTGATGCCAGAAGAGAGTCGATGATCACGGTCACACGAGTATCGATAATCATTACGTTGACGATCACAGCACGAAGTGGTACGATACGTTGCTGTTCTGGCAGTAGTGGCGATTGCGATCAGGACGATACCGACGGCGTTGGTTGACGCATGGAGAACGTAGTGACCATGGTGACGAGGACGATGGTGGGGAGTCTTAGCATCAGCACCACTACGAGGAGCACTACGACGATGACGATGACGTTCATCGGCGATGCGCCGTCAGGATGGAACTCGGGAGCCCTTGGTGCAAGTTCCCCAGACGGAGCCGCCTTACATCGTCCTGGAGAACATGACCAAGGCGCGGCGGCAGCAGCTGGTGGGATCGAGGGGAGGAGGAGGCCAAGGAGGCCTGGAAGATGGCCGAGGCAGTGCTGGAGGTGGCAGGGACAGCGGGTGTGATCACGCGGGCGAGCATGGAGCCGAATGCCCAGAGGAGCGCAGTTTGGGCGGGTCGAGTCGATGAGCGAACCGCCCCGTCTCGGCCTTCGGAGGGTGCTGCGGCCGCAGTGCTCTTGCGGGCCGCTGCCTGCCCTGTCTGGCCCGCGGGCCCGTGCTGTGCGGAGGGGGGCTCTGTCCACCCCCAGGGGAATATAATGGCCAGCTGGGATGCAACTTCTGGGAGGTTAGATTGTGCATCGGCGCTGGTATTTGCGCGATCGATAACCGGCTTAATCTGGGCTAGTTCGGTTCAGTTCGGCTTAATCCCGCCTAGTCCGGCGTAGTCCTGCTTCATCCCGAATCGAATCCTGCCTCATCTGGCGAAGTGGCACCTTCATCTGGCTGGCTTCATCGCCCTTAATCCTTCGAGCGAGAACCTCCCAGGAGTTGCTTCCGAGTGCCAGTTTTCACCAGGACGGTGAGACAAGGCAGATCGACAGGCCTCGTTTCTCTCACGAGGCCCACTCACTGTCGGAGCTGGCCTTCCGCCGTGCTGCCACCCCCGGGGGATGGGGGCAGCGAAGAGGGCCGAGGGGGGCCTCCTGGCAGCACGGGCAGGACGCGCAGCACGGGGGCGTGGGGGAGGGAGAGCGCCGCCCTGCCCCTGCATCTCCTCAGGTCCTCCTCCTGCTGCCCGTTTTCAGGGAACGGAGCTTCAGCGAGCAAAGGTGGCGAGGCTTCTCAGAAAAGGCTTTCTGATAGGTTTTCTGCGCCTTCAGGGAAGGCTTGGACAACATCTCAGAGGGCTGGAGGACTTCCAAGCCTTCTGAGAAGGCCCGCCCCCTCTCACTTCCCCCCCACGCTCGACGCTGCCCGTCTACGCCATGACATAAACATGAACGTTCGGAGGTCTGCTCGGATGTCTCGGATCGGCGATGGAAACCCCAGCGGCGCCTCCGGCGCCTCCCATGGCGCGCTCCGCGCGCCATGAAGGGGGGGTCCAACGCCGATCCGAGAAACGAGCGCGGACCTCCAAAAGTTCGCTTCGGCGAATGCGCTTCAGCCGTGTTCTAACAGGAGCAGGCGGCGGAAGGGCAGGGGGGAGCGGGGAGGAGGAGGATGCGGAGGAGGAGGTGGAGGATGTGGAGGAGGAGGAGGAGGAGAAGGAGGAGCAGCACTGACGCCACGAGCGGGAGTGCGCTCGGCGGCCTGGCTAAGAAAAGGAGGAGCAGCAGCACCACCACCACCACCAGCAGCACCAGCAGCGGCATTACGAGCAGGGCGGCGAGGAGCAGCGGCAACAGTCCCAGGAGAAGAGCACGGCATGGGCGCTCGGTCCTCCCAGCGAGGACACCCACGTGCACAGCGCCCGGGGCCTCCGCATCATCTCGCTGGCGGGCGGCCGGACCGTGAAATTGGGCCGGGGCAGCGACAACGACGTGAGCATCTCGGATAGTTGGGGAGGGTTGATCGAGGAGGATCGATGGCCGAGGAGGGTCGAGTTCAGAGGAGGAAGAGGTACCGATAATCACGTACCTGTGTTCCTCCTGGAGAGGCGAAGGCGCCATGGCTGGATTCTCGTCGAAGTTCTAAGCAGAATGAGCCCCAGGAGAGGTCTGGGGATCAGCAGCATCGCAAGTGGCTTTGTTTGTACCCACACGAAGGATGATCGATGGTCGAGACGGACCGTGAGCGGACACCGACAGGGAGGTTGATCTGGGTTCGGGGAATTTGAGGAGGATCGAAGAGAATCGATGGTCGAGGAGGGTCGAGGAGGATGTCGAGGATGACGAGCGAGGACTGTTGGCCGAGGAGGATCGATGGTCGAGGAGGGTCGAGGACTTGGGTTCCTGGAAGTCTCTGGCTTGTGTGGAGGGCGTCCAGGGGCCCGCAGATGTCCCCCGTGAGGGGGAGGGGGCGGGGGCGCCGCGGCCGGCCGTCCGCTCCTCTTCCCATTTCCTCCTGATCCGCTGAATTCGGGTTGCGCCTTCTTGGCTGTGTCCGGCCTCGTTCTCCTCCTCCTCCTCCTCCTCCTCCTCCTCCTCCTCCTCCTTGTGCCACGCTGTTGTGTTCAAGTCCTCCTCCTCCTTCCCCCTCCTCCTTTCCCTCCTCCTTCCCCCTCCGCCCCCCCCCCCTCCCGTCGCGCTCCTGGCCTCGGCCTAGGCGGCCTGTGCCCCTCTGCCGCCCGCCAGCGCCCGCTGACCGGCCGATGCCCGGCCGTGGTCGGGGGCCGGGCGCCTCGGCGCCAGGGTCGCAGGGCTCCTCTCGACGCCTCTGGCTCAAGTCGATGCAGTGTCGATCGATTCCGATTCTGCTCGCCGTCTGTTTCCGATCTGGGTTTCTGTTTCTCTGCGCAGGCCTTACGAGCCTGCCGATTTCCGCCGATTCGACTTCGCCCGACTTGGCTGCCGATTCCCGCCGATTCGATAATTTCGATCGCCAATCGGACTTATCGATTCGATCCCTGGCTGTCTGGGGGTCGGGATGACGACCAGTCGGACCAAGACCCCTCGAGTTATGAACAAAAAACATGCCGGGAGGTTTGCCGTGGTTTCCGGCCTCCAGGGGCCCTCGCCTGGCTTCGGGGCCATCAACAAAGTTCTTCGGGAGGGCAACCGTCTTGAATACATCATGATTTTGGGTGCCTGGGTCCAGCCGATGTTTGGGCACGGTCGGAGGAGGCGGCCGCGGAGGAAGGGGGAGCCGAGGGGGGAGAGGAGGAGACCCTGAGAGCCGCGTGTCACAACTTAGTCGGGCCAGGCGTTTTCGCTTTGTTTCGGGCTTTGGGTCCCTGGCAAAGCGCTCCAGGTCAACCAATGATGTAGAAAGGATACGTAGGGTGTTAAGGTTCCAGCCGCGATTCGTCACGATGGTTTTTTGGCGACGTCGGATCCCAGGGGAGGAGGGGGGCACGGGCAGAGGAGGAGAGGGAGGAGGGCGAGGGTCGACGACGCCCTCGTCATCCTCTCTCTCTCCTCCTCCTCCTCCTCCTCCTCCTCCTCCTCCTCCTCCTCCTCCTCCTCCTCCTCCTCCTCCTCCTCCCCCTCCTCCTTCTCCTCCACGTCCTCCTCCTCCTCCTCCTCGTCCTCCTCCTCGTCCTTCTCCTTCTCCTCATCCTCCTTTTCCTCCCTCTTCGTTTTTACCTAACAGCTTTTGCTGATAGGTTTCTAGTGGACTCAAAAGAGAGCAGCAGATGACTCCACAGGGGGGTCTGGGCGGCATCCGGGGAGCTGTGTCCGAACTCGTGTCCGAACTCGTTTTTCGCAAACAGTCACACACTTCGCGCTCTTCGACCTCCCAGAACTCCATTCCCGGGCCACATTCTGAATGCCCGGAGCCAACTGTAGGCCACTTCGTGCTCTTCGACTTCCCAGAACTCCATTCCCGGGCCACATTTTGAATGCCCGGAGCCAACTGTAGGCCACTTCGTGGTCTTCGAGTTCCCAGAACTCCATTCCCGGGCCACATTTTGAATGCCCGGAGCCAACTGTAGGCCACTTCGTGCTCTTCGAGTTCCCAGAACTCCATTCCCGGGCCACATTTTGAATGCCCGGAGCCAACTGTAGGCCACTTCGTGGTCTTCGAGTTCCCAGAACTCCATTCCTGGGCATGATTTTGAATGCCCGGAGCCAACTGTAGGCCACTTCGTGTTCTTCGAGTTCCCAGAACTCCATTCCCGGGCCATATTTTGAATGCTGAGGCAGGCTGATGCTGAGGCTGAGGCAGGCTGAGGGTGAGGCAGGCTGAGGCTGAGGCCGAGGCTGAAGGCAGACTGAGGCTGAGGCTGAAGCAGGCTGAGGCTGAGGCTGAGGCAGGCTGAGGCTGAGGCTGAGGCAGGCTGATGCTGAGGCAGGCTGAGGCTGAGGCTGAGGCTGATGCAGGGCTGAGGCTGAGGCAGGCTGAGGCTGAGGCCGAGGCTGAAGGCAGACTGAGGCTGAGGCTGAAGCAGGCTGAGGCTGAGGCTGAGGCAGGCTGAGGCTGAGGCAGGCTGAGGCTGAGGCTGAGGCAGGCTGAGGCTGAGGCTGTGACTGCGACTGCCGTTGCCATGCGACTGTCATCGCGAATGCGACTACGACTGCGAGAACAGCAGAATTCTACAACTGGATTCTCATCTGAATCTTAAGGGGAATGCTTCCAGATATGCTCCTACACATCGCTGTTAGGCTGCTTTGCCGGGATAATTCTGTTTCGTCCTCATGACGATCATCATTGCCTCCATCTCCATCGCCATCCTCATCATCATAAGCATCATCAGCATTGGCATCATCATCGTCATCGCCATCATCACCACCACCACCATCATCATCATCATCATCATCAGCAGCATCATCAGCATTATCATCATCATCAGCATCATCATCATCAACATCATCAGCATCATCATCTTCATCATCATCATCATCATCATCGTCATCATCATCATCATCATCATCATCATCATCATCATCATCATCATCATCATCATCATCATCATCATCATCATCATCATCCCGACGTTCGCCTTGTCCGTCATCATGCGGGATGGGGGAGGGACCGCACGGGGGCGAGCCCGAGGATGTTTCCACGTCGCGGCTGCACGCCACGCTGCGGTTCAAGGGCGGCAAGTTCGTGATTGAGGACGCCGTGCTTGGGCTGGCCAGTGCCTGGCGCGGGGTGAGGAGGAGAGGGGAGGAAGCAGGAGGTCCAGCAGTAGCGGAGGAGGAGGAGGAGCAGGAGGAGGAGGAGGAGGAGGAGGAGGAGGAGGAGGGGGAGGAGGAGGAACGGGGTGGAGGACCACGGGAAGAGAAGGAGGGGGAGGGGGAGGGGGAGGAGGAGGAGGAGGAGGAGGGGGAGGGGGAGGAACGGGGTGGAGGACCACGGGAAGAGAAGGAGGGGGAGGGGGAGGGGGAGGAGGAGGAGGAGGAGGAGGGGGAGGGGGAGGAGGAGGAGGAGGAGGAGGAGGAGGAGAAGAAGGAGGAGGAGGAGGACAAGGACGAGGACAAGGACAAGGACAATGACAAGGACAAGGAGCGGGAGGGTTGCCTGGGGTGGACGGTGGGAGGAGGAGGAGGAGGAGGAGGACGAGAAGGAGGGACAGGAGCAGGAGGTGGAGGATGATAGAAGATAGGGGTTTCTTTCTGCCGTTGCACTCGTCCTCCTCGCCTGGCCCCCTGCCCATGGCGTAGAGTGAACTCGGGGACTCTAAGGGCGCTTCCAGGGCCCATCGCTGGGGCGTCCTTGGATAATGGTTGGACGCCCCAAATCCAGGCTTCCAGACTCCCAAATGGGGTCCGAGCAGATGGGGTGAGAGTCGCCGCATCGCCGATGTGGCCCGATGTGGATTCCGAGTTTTCCACACCGACGGCGCCGATGCATCACTGGCGTCACTGATTCGGTGATGCGACGCGATCTCCGACACCTCCTACTCTGAACCCATCTAGGAGGTCTGTACACACGTCAAGAAGGAAAACATATCGAGCGAGGTTGAACTGTTACCATGCATCTGGCCTCCTTGCAGACATGCGTGGGGTCTCCGGGGCCGCTCCAGAGCTATCTTGGGGACGCCTTGGTGCCTCTTATAGCTTCGCTGGAGGCAGTTTGGGCAATGCTGCGCCATGTTGTGTCATCATTCCGTAGCTGAATCCATCTCGAGGCCATCTGGAGCAGAAGCGGACTCTCTAACCAATTGCGGTTTCCCTGATTCAGAAGCCCAGGGAGGGGGTAGGAGGAGGGACGGATCCTCCCCGCTCGGGCAGTGGAGGTGGTTTGGGAAGAGCTGTTCCGCTGAGCTAGCTGCGCCCAGGGGGGGTGGGAACACCACGAATGTTCCTCATATCCATCCCGCCTCCGACCGTCCATCTCCTCCTCCTTTGCCTCCTCCTCCTTTTCTCGCTTCTCTCTCCCCTCCAGCCCCTACGCCCCCCTTCTGAGGGTTCCCGTTTGCTCTCGGGGCCTTCTTGGGTAGTCCCGCGGCAACCCGCTGCTGCAGGACGAGAAGTCCAAGTTCGGAACTTTCGTCACCATGAGGAGACTTCCGCCCCTCGGGCCTGGCAGTGGCATGTCGATCCAGGCGGGCACGCGAGGGAAGGCGGCTTCTTGCAGGGGCAAGAAGGGGAGGGAAGGGGAACAATTCTAGTCGTAGTCGTAGTCGTCGTCGTCGTCGTTGTTGTGCAAACGGTGCAGCGGAGGAACATTATTTGCCAGTATTGGTGGGACCGTGGTCCGTCAAGATGGTCGCTGGCAAGAAACATCTGTTTCAAATCTTGGGGGGGTGATTCAATCAATGCTGCGGTTATCGGGAAGATAGGAAGATTAGTTGGTCGTAGCAATGAAAAGTTTCGAGAACGCAAGTCTGGAAACAAACCCAAGAGTGTGGCATTTCGCCCTTGCTCAAATAGTGACAGAAATGTGCATCGACCGCGTACCAAACTCACCTGGAACATACGCGGAACCCATGTGCAACGTAAGCGAAACGCAACTGATGCGTGCGTAGAACGTGCGTGGTACATTCCAAAGGTGTATGATACGCATTTGAAGCGTACGCGGAACGTTTATGACACGATTCCGGAACGTGTATGGCATGTATGGCTATTGTATACGAGACTTACAGAGACGCGTCTGGCACGCACTCGGAACGTACGAGGTTCGTATAACGAGTCGTATGTGAGTCGCAGATGAGACGTACCTGAAGCGATGATGGCAAGCATAGGAAACGTACCCGGCATGGATATGACACGTATCTGAACTTTTGTACGGAACATATAGAACCCGCACACGAAACGACAACCAAACGTATGCGGACCATATACGAAGCTTTTCGGCACGTGTACGGCGCGTATATGTGTGGTGTACGAAACACATATGAAACGTTCGCGATACGTCCAGATGTTGCACGAGACGCTTATGAAACATATGCCAAACGCCAAGTTACGAAGCGTGTGCATAACGTGTACGACACGTGCAGAAACATACACACAACCCACACAAACACCGACGACACGCATACGAGCCGTGTGTGGAGCGTGGACAAAACGTAGACAACGCGCATGCACAATGCTTGCGAACCGTACATGGACCTCACACAAAACGCGTGTGTGACGTATGCATCACGCACGCCCATTGTCGGAGAAATACCAAGCACGATCACACCCGTTGGAATTTACCTGGCACGTATAACACACGAGCACCACACGTGTCGAACATGTATTCGAAGCGTATGCGAAATGTGAACGAGACGTACGCGACATGTTTACACAACCGACCAACATCCGTATACGACACGTTTAAGAGACGTATGCGAACCGTGCGCGCCGTATATCAAACACGGACAAGCCAGATATACAGGCATACGACACGTATACAACACGTTCACCACACGCGTACGACAAAATACTTCTCTCTCTCTGTCATACATACGTAACACACCACGCCAGCTGAATGCGTATGAGACGCATTCAACATGTATACAACACGCTGTCCAATTACCACCCCCTTTTCTCCACGCGAGGCGAATAGTTGTATGAACGCTCCATACACGAAGAACACATCGCCAGATTTGCACGATCATGGCTGCCCTGGTCTCCGCAGTGCCTCCCAGGAACCAGCGAACGTGGCGACGGTTGCGTCGTTCGCAACCACCCAGGGAACTGCGATGTGTCGGTTGCCCCCGCGTGGTCCCCGACCCCGCTGGGCCTCCCAGGAGCCCACAAAACGGGCGACATTTGCACAGTCCGCAGCCTCCCAGACGGTAGCGAGGTCCCAAATGGGTCCGCGGGGCCCCCGACCCCGCTGGACATTTCAAGAGCCCACGAAAGTGACAACGGTTGTACAGTTCACAGCCACCCATGGAACAGCGAGATCTTGTTTGGGTGCACGGGCCCCCAACTTTTGAGAGTCGCGCAGCTCGCAGCCTCCTACGGAGTTGCGAGGTCTCGGTCTGGACCCGCGTGGCCCCCGACCCCGCTGAACCTCCCAGGAGCCCACGACCGTGGCGACAGTTGCACAGTTCGCAGCCTCCCATGGGGAAACGAGGTCCACATGGATCCACACAGCCTCTCAGGGGGCTGTGAGGTATTTGGTATTCCGCTACTCCGCAATGCCTCCCAGGAGCCCACGAACGTGGCGACAGTCGCGCAGTTTGCAGCCACCCAGGAGCTGCAAGGTCTCGGGTACTCCAATACTCCGCTGGACCTCTCGGGAGCCCACGCAAGTGGCGACAGTTTCGCAGTTCGCAGCCACCCCGAAAGCTGCCAGGTCTTAACTATTCCTCTACCCCGCTGGACCTCCCAGGAACCCGCGGAAATGGCGACGGTTGCACGTTCGCAGCCACCCTGGGAATTCCAAGGTTTCGGGTGCTCCGCCACTCCGCCGTGCCTCCCAGGGGCCCACGAAAGCTTCGACAATTGTGCAGTCCGCAGCCATCCAGGGCGTTGCGAGGATTCGGGTGCTCCCCGCTCCGCCGTGCCTCCCAGGAGCTCACGAAAGTGGCGACAGTTGCGCAGTTCGCAACCACCCAGGGAGCAGCGCAGGAGGAGGCAGGAGGATGCGTGGGAGAGAGGGAGAAGTGGATACCGGAGGAGGGGGGTGAACACCGCCTTCCACCCATCACTTTGCTCTTCCCCTAGAGAGGGTGGTCTTCCTCCTCCTGCTCGCCCGTCTCCTCCACCTCCATTTTATTACCCCCTCCGCCTCCTAGGAGGAGGACGAGGCAGGGACGGCGGTGACGACGACGACGACAAGGAGGACGACGACGACGACGACGACGACGACGACGACGACGACGACGACGACGAGTATTGGTGCGAGCTGGAGCAATGTTTTGACGGACCTGGGGTCTTGTAGCCGTTTGTCGGAAGGCGTAGGGGACGCCCAGAGCGCCGTCCGCCTCCTTCTCTTCCTTTGCCTTATCATTTCGTCTGGCGCTGAACCCTCCGGGGCTCGTGCCTTTGGCGCTGAACCCTTCGGGGTTCGTGCCAACCGCGCTGAGAGCGCTGAACCCTTCGGGGCTCGTGCATTCGACGTCTACAGCGCTGAACCCTTCGGGGCTCGTGCTTTCGACATCTTGAGCGCTGGACCCTTCGGGGCTCGTGCTTGCGGCGCTGGACCCTTCGGGGCTCGTGCCTGTGGCGCTGAACCCTGCGGGGCTCGTGCCATCTACGTTGAGTGCACGGAACCGTCGGGGCTCGTGCTCTCCACGTACTGGGCGCAGAATCCTCCAGGGCTCGCGCCTTGGCGCTGGGGCTCGTGCCAGTAGCGCTGGACCCTACGGGGCTCGTGCTACACTGGGAGCGCTGAACCCTACGGGGCTCGTGTTCGCAGTCGCCTGGCGCAGAACCCTCCAGGGCTCGTGCCGGGAAGTTTTACGGTTTTTGCAGTTGTCGTTTGCTCGTTTCTAGTAGTTTTCGAGCAGAAAACGATTTGTGTTTTTGCAATTTTGCCTGGGGCCCTGGGAGAAAGTGGAAAACGTGACGCTGGACCCTCCGGGGCTCGTGCCGGACACTTCTACGGTTTCTACAATTTTTGAATGCTCTTTTGTTTTAGCTTTCTAGCGGAGAATTATTATGAATTTTGATTTTTCTGTCCGGGGCTGGGGGGGGAATGAAAAACGTGGCGCTGAACCCCTCTGGGGCTCGTGCCGGGTAGTTTTACGGTTTTCTGCCATCTGGGATTGCTCTTTTGTTATAGTGTTGAAGGGGAAAATTATGTTTTTTTGTTTTTTTTTTTTCGGACCGTGGCCTGGCGGGGAATTCAGAGCTCAACTTTTCGGGGCTCGCTCGTGCTTTCGACATCTTGAGCGCTGAACCCTTCGGGGCTCGTGCTTGCGGCGCTGAACCCTTCGGGGCTCGTGCTTGTGGCGCTGAACCCTTCGGGGCTCGTGCCATCTACGTGGAGTGCGCAGAACCCTCCGGGGCTCGTGCTCTCCGCGTACTGGGCGCAGAATCCTGCGGTGCTCGTGCTGTATTTGGAGCGCTGAACCCTACGGGGCTCGTGTTCGCAGTCGCCTGGCGCAGAACCCTCCAGGGCTCGTGCCGGACCTTTTTACGGTTTTTGCCATCTTCGTCTGCTCGTTTGTAATAGTTTTTGGAGCAGAAGACGATGGTGTTTTTGCAATTTTTCGGTCCGGGGGCCTGGAGAAAGTGGAGAAAAGGAGCTGGACCCTCCGGGGCACGTGCCCGACAGTTCTACAGTTTGTGCGATCTTTAAGTGCCAGTTTGCTACAGCTTGCAAGCAGAAAACTTTTTTTTTTGTTTTTTTTATTTTTCGGTCCGAGTCTGGGGAGGGGAATGAAAACCGTGGCGCTGAACCCTCTGGGACTCGTGCCAGACAGTTGTATGGTTTTCGCCATCTTGGCCTGCTCTTTTGTATAAGTTTGTAGCAGAAAACTATGATGTTTTTGAGATTTGTCGAACACGATTCTTTTTTAAGTATTTGGAGGTTTCTGGGGGACCGCGGGGGACAAATAAAACCTCTGGGGGGAAAAACGCTCGAGCTCTTGATCATGTGGGGCAAAGCAAGGCGTTTGCGGTGTGAAAATGAATGGGCATTCGCCGGAAGGGCCCGGGGCGAGAAATAAAGATGTTCGGTGTTTTTTTCTCGCGGTCCCGGGGCTTTGAGAACGCCCCCGGCACTTGCTATTGCTTTCACGTCTGAGTGCGTCTCTTTTCTTTCGCTGCGGCGCCATTGCTGGTGGATGCTTGTCGGTGTTTCCGCTTTCGCGCCCTGTCGTTCCACTCTAGGATGCTTCTCCTTGCTGTCGCTGCCATGCCTTTGTTTTTGCCTTTGAGTGTTCTTTGAACACCTCCGACTTGCCAGCAGACACATGGCGCCAGGCGCTGTCGGGCAATAGCCGTGAGTTTGTATCATGGCACAAATTTCGAGGCGAATCCAGCCGGAGGTGTGCAGTGGTATTTGCGAGGCTTTCGGCTGCACGCAGACAGCCTGCCCAGGTAGTCCTGCGACCCAGTGTTGGAGAGTTCAGACCGCCACGAGCCCTCTGGGGAGGTCTCTCGCTGCCGCGCCCTTTTGTCTCCACTTTTGGGTGAGTCTGGACACTCGCTACCGCGTCCTTTTGTCTCCACCTGTGGGTGCTTCAGGTTGCCTTCACAGTCGCGCCCTTTTGTCTCCACTCTTCGGGGCCTTCTAATTGCTTTCGCTGCCGCGCCCTTTTGTCTCCACTTTTTGGCGCTTCTGTTCCCTTTCGCTGCCGCGCCCTTTTGTCTTCACTTTTGGATGCTTCTCTTTGTTTTCGCTGCCGCGCCCTTTTTTCTCCACGTTTGGGTGAGTCTGGACACTTTGGCTGCCGCGCTCTTTTATCTCCACTTTTTGGTGCCTTAGGTTACTGCCGGTGCCGCGCCCTTTTTGTTTCCATGTCTTGGGGAGGTCTCATTGCGGTCGCTGCCACACTCTTTTGTAACCGCTTTTGGCTGCTTTTTCTACCGCGCCCTCCTGCGTCCACTTCTGTGTGCATCGCGACCGCGACCTGTTGATTCCACTTTTGGGTTCTTCTCGTTGGGTTCGCTGCCGCGCCCTTCTGTCTCCTCTTTTGGATGAGCCTCCTCCCCCGTTATGCACCTCATGCAACAGCCCCGCTCAGCGCAGCGCATTGCTGAGTTCAATTGATGTTCTGGTTAAACCCTCGCCGCCGCACCCTTTTGTGTTCACTTTTTGGGCGCGTTTCTTTCAACGCCTCTTGTGTGTCCGTTTTGTATTTTTACCGCTGCTCTTCTTGCTGCGTTCTTCTGAAATCACTGCTCGATGCTCTTCTTGTGCACTGCGAGTCCTTCAGAATGCCAGTCAGTATTGAGTGGTCCTGAGTATACTCGCCACATGTACAGAAAAGGGTTGGATACGTCGCAGGGTAATTACCCCCTCCGCCTCCTTCTCTTCACATTGCTGCACCAGCGACGTTCGGCAACACTTCCTTGATGACCGTTTGCGGTTACGGCTGCGTTGGTCTCCAACAGTTTTTGGCGTTAAATTGGTGACAGCTTCTCTTGCGGATGCCAGTGACGAGCAACTGGACGTGATATAAAAGCATTGCCCTTCTTCCTTCTCATCGTCTCTTCCAGGAGTGTTGTGCAAGGCGGGGAAAACAACAAAACAAAACAAGACACACATGCAACGGTAGGGAAGTGTCGGGCTTTTGGGGCAGGGGATGACTTTGCCCCACAGGCCAGGAAAAGGTTTCCAAACGGAGGTTGGACTATGGGTTCTTCTGCCTCTCACGAGTTGGACGGACGTGGCGGGTTTCATCTGGTGGGCGGCCGTGGGCGACTCGCGGCCTCGGCGAAACGTGCGTGTGGCGGGGTTTGGCCCGCGCGGCGGCCGTGGGCACCTCATGGGCACCACGTGTGCTGGACTGGTGCATCGAGGTTTCGCCTGTTGGGTGGCCGTGGGAGCCTCGTGGGCTCCCCGTGGGCCGGCTGGGGATGTCGATGTTCCGCATGATGGGCAGCGCCGTGGGCGCCTCGTGGTCGCTTGGCACTGCTTGCGCCACATTGCTCGCGTCACAAGGCGTACGGTAGATTCGTGTCGAGTCGACGCGGCGGCGACCGCGGCGCGGGCGTTGAAGGTTGAACGCCGCCAGCGGCTCAGAATCGGCAAACATGAAACGATCTGGTGATCGAAAAGCCGCCGGTCGTTGAAGGTTGAACCATCAAGGCAGTGTCAGAAACCAGCGCCATCACCACACGATTCTGGCTTACACCACTTTGCTTATACATCAAATTTTGCACAACATAGCTTGTACATCATAGCTTTCGTCACACCCTCCCCCCGATCTGCAGGTGGGTCGCACCATCCTGAGGCTCACCGTGCAGGTGCCAGACGTGGCCGCCCGCGGCTTGGCCGAGCAGGATGCCGCCGCGGCAGGGGTGGTCGGGCCGGACGAAAGGAGGGGGGGGAAGTGGGGGGACGGGAAGGTGTCGGGAACTCTGGGGCCGCAGGGCCAACACACAAATCTTACGCTGAGGCTGGAAACAGAAGTGTGGGCGAGGCATGGTTGTGTTGCATGCTTTGGGTTTCCGGCTGTATTTTTTGTCGGGCTGCGCCAAATTTGGAAAAGGGTGGCGCAAATTTTCTGACAAATGATCCGTTAGTGTCTCATTATCAGGTCCCCGCGGTTTGCGTTTGCGGTTGTCGTTTCGTTTTTTGCTGCTTCCGTAGCAGAGGTCGTCAGACCGATTGGGGGATTATTGGGCCTACCATGAAGTTGCTGTTGTTGGTTGGTCAGGGCATGGGCCCCTTTGTTTTTTAGGCCGACGCGAGCGCGATTTTCCCTGCTCTAATCGATCTGTCCGCAGTGGTTCCAGCCCTTAGTGTTTCCAGCCTCCCCGTATCGGAGGGTGTCTGTGGCCTTCAGGGGCAACGATCGAGGTGGATAGGAAAGCGGGGGATGCATCGACCCCCAATCCCCCATTGATCGCCGATGCGGGCCCGATAGCTCCACCCCGCCCAAGCAGGTTCGGATTCGCTATCGGGTGCCTATCGCCGATGTATCGGTGATGTATCGCCGGTTCCAGGTCGATGTGTCCCTCCCTATGCCAGTCCCCCCCTATCGTTGCCCCTCAGGCTCTGGCCCATGGGGACCACAGCTTCCCCAGGGAGGCTCAGATGGCTTCCAGAGCACCCTTCTCGGGGCCCAGGCGCAGATGGCTTCCAGAGCACCCGTTCCGATGTCCAGCAGGCCCCAGAGGCCCCTCAAGCGGCGCGAGGAGCTGGGAGCACCCTGGGGGGGAACTTCTAGCAACACCCAAAAGGGGAAGGGGGAGAAAGAGGAGGAGGAGGAGGAGGAGGAGGACGACGACGACGACGAGGGGGAGGAACACAGACAGGAAAGCGAGGACGAAATGCGGCAGGGTGAGGATCAGGGGGGTTAGGGAGGAGGAAGCGCAGGGGGGACGAAGTGCCAGGACGATGATGGGGGCGGGGGGGATCCGAATTAGTAGAAGCGGCTGTAGAGTAAAAATGATAATCGTCGTGGGAGGGAGTGTTAGGGAAAAGGGGGGACGAAATGGTAGTGGGAGTGGGCGGGCGCACGAAAACAGGAGTAGTCACAGCAGTAGTCGTAGTCGTAGTCACAGCAGTAGTCGTAGTCGTATTTTTTTTTGGGGGGGGGGGGGGGCCGAAATCTGTTGCATACAGCTGGGTCCAGCTCCGCCGCCGAACGCTCTTCTCGATACCTTGGCGCTGGGAGGCGCTGGGAGGCGCCATGAAAACATGCTACATGAGATACATGAGCTGATCTCGCACACCCCGCTTGGGACCCCACCCCTTGTCGTCCGACCCGAGATTCGCGTAGGGGATCGAGAACATACCTGATTTACCCCGAACTTGATCATCTCGTCGACTCCATGAGGAATGCGTGGAACGCTCGTAGATCTACGAGCATTCCACGCACTTCTCGTAGATCCGACAAGAACATACATGTTTGGTTGCGCCAGTTCTGTAGTCGATCCTCTACTCGAGAGATGGGGTGGGAGGATACCGATCGACCTGCCCGAGACGATGGTCAATCGCAAGAATGCCCCCCTCAGAACGCCCATAGAATCCGCCAGGTCCTCCACGCCAGTCCACGGTGATGCCAATCACCGGGTGGCGGTCTGATTCAGGCTGGCTGCCTCAAGCGCAGTCGAGAGGGCCTTCGGCCCCGCCCGAGACAGCGCCAAGACCGCAGAGGCACACACTGGGCTGGCGCTGGACCACCCGGCGGCGCCGCCTGCGGCCACGCCCCTGGCGCACGACTCGCGCCAGGTTGGGGGGGCGCACGTCGCGCCCGCGCGGACCTCCGGATGTTGCTCCAACGGCAGGAGCACCGGCGAGGACGACCTGACCTCGTGGCCAAAACGGCCTCGGAGCGGAGCTGCCGAACACAAGTCCTGCCTCGAGTCCACTCGCGATCGCGGGCGCGAGCGAACAGGGCGGCCAGACGCTGCTTCTGCGGCTGCGCACCGTCGGGGACGCGGACGATGTGGAGGAGGAGGCCATCCAGGGTTCGCTCCAGCCACAATGGATTCGCTCCAAGGCTCGGGGCTGACTCTCCTGGACTCTTGCCACCCCGCCTCCGTCCGTTCTCGATCCATACGAGCAGTCCCTCCCCTCGCGTCATTCCCCTTGCCCTGGTGGCGGCGGGCGCTGCGTTGGCCCGTCCCTATTGGCGAAGGTCCCCCAGATGCGACTAGATCGCCCCGCCTTAATACGCCTTTCTGATAAGTGACTGGCCATAGGCCAGCGTAATTCAGAGCAGGAAAGTATGCGAAGCTCAAATTGTTGCGCCTCCATTTAGGAGGAGGAAGAGGAGAAGGAGGAAGAGGAGGAGGAGGAGGAGGAGGAGGGGGAGGAGGGGTGCGAGGGTGATAATGATGATGATAATGATGTGGGGAGATTGAGGGGGCGGAGAAGAAGGAGGAGGAGGAGGAGGAGGGGCAACAGGAGGAGGAGCAGCAGGAGGAAACGGATAAGAAGGAGAAGAGGTAGGATGCGGAGGGTGGGGAGTGGCGATCAGAAATGATGGGGTAAATGATCAGGATGATGAGGATGAAGAAGCGGAGGAGACGGAGCATGAGGAGCAGGGTGAGAGGGGGTTGGAGAGCGAGCTCTCGGGGGATGAGAGAGTAAGAGGGCAGCAGGAGAAGGGCGTGGTGGATGAGGAGGAGGGAGTGGTGGATGAGGTAGATGGATAATCCTCCTCTTTCTCCCCCCTTGGCTAGGGGGGCCTGCCGTTTTTCCCCTGCTTTGGAATCGCGTCCCTTTCGAAATCCTTATGCTTTCGGCGGCGACCGCTCGGCTACCCCATCCTGTTCCTCCTCCTCCTCCTCCGAGCCTCCTCCTCCCGCTCCTCCTCCTCCTCCTGCTCCTCCTCCTCCTCCTCCTCCTCCTCCTCCTCGCCGTTGTCCTCATCGCTGTTGTATTTCTGGTATTCGAAGGTGGATCCAGGGAGGGCGGTGAGGCGGGGAGGGGGATGTCTGAGGCCGAGGCGGCGGAAGCGATCAAGCCTTCGGGCCTTCTATTGCCCGTGGGGGCGTCAGCTTGCGCCAGTGCATCCGAGGAGGAAGAACGGTGAGGAGGCGGGGGGGGGTCAGAGGATGAAAAGGTACCCATACCACTACCTTTCGCTCGTGTTCTTTTTGTGGGGGGCTCCTGAGTGGCCCTCGTCGCCACCGCTGGATTCGCCTCAAATATTTTTCTGGGCAGAACGCGCCCCAGGGGAGGTCCAGAGGGCAGCCGTATCGTTACTTGTTGGTTTCCCCAGGTGGTGGTGGGGGAAGAAAAAGAGAAGGAGGCAGGGGAGAATAACAAGGAGAGACAGAGGGAGACGATCAGGGACGAGGAGCGGGAGGGAGTGGGACACATACCCCCGACTTCATGATTTGTCATAACGTCAGTCCCCAGAGTCTTGACCCGTGGCCCAGGACCGAGTTTGCACCCCGAGACGTTTTTCGGAGGCCCAGTCAGGGCTCCCAGCGACGTCGTGATTTTTGCCAGCGACTCGAGTGGATTTGGGGTGGGAGGGCCCTTTGCCGGAGCAGGAGGGCGGGAGTCTGGCCTCTGCGAGCTGCCTGCTACGCTGCGGCTCGCGACCGCCCCGCGCCCCCTCCACTTCGGAGCCCTCACAGCGCTGGGCGGTGCCAGCGCCTGGGGCCCGGAGGGCTCCAGGCCTGCTCAGCTGCGGCCTCAGAGGAGTGTTACCTCCTCCTTCTTCTCCTCCTCCTCCTCCTGGTCCTGTTCCTGGTCCTGTTCATATTGTTCTATGTTGGCCATGCATAGGCATCGAGGCTGTTGCGATCCTGTTCCTCCTCCTCCTCCTCCTCCTCCTCCTCCTCCTCCTCCCCCTACTCCTCGTCATCGATGTCATCGTCATCGATGTCATCGTCGTCGTCGACGATGACGTCGTTAACTTCTTTACCAGCACTGTCGTCAGCATCATCACCATCATATCCATTGTTATCCTCGCCCTCATCATCTTCCTCCTCAGCAAGGCGCCTTGATACTCAGAGAAAGAAAAAGGCATAAACATAAACTTTCGACGGTGCGCGTGGGTTTCATGTAATGGCTCTGGAGCCCCCCGGCGGAGAGGCTGGTCAAGGAGTAGGATGTCGAGACACGGCCATGTGCACCTTGGCGAGTTTTTTACCAGGGGTCGTGGCCGTCCGGACTAACAGATGCTGCCTGCATTGAGGAGAGAGCACGCAGCACGTTTCCTGAACAAATGGTGTGAACGTCTCAGGCGAAAACGGCTGCCGGACCAGGCGGTCTATGGAACTCTTCCATGTTTTTGGTTTTTGCCATAAACGCTATCCGGGAAAACGTATTGATACCGCTACCCTTACATCGTTGTCGGTTTTCGGGGCATCCTGGAAGGCTCTCGTCGCCATGGCTGGGTTCGCCTCGACACCCCGTGACAGGTGTCGGGAGTCCGGTATCGGGTTTTTTTTGCCCCCCCCCGCGGTCAGAAACGTTTGCTGAGCGTAATCGCCCCCCCTGGTGTCCTAAGAGGTCCGATGGATGTCCGAAGGAACCGCATGGATGTCCTTACATATCTCATGCGTCTCCTAAGGATTCCGATAGATTGCCTAAAGAGTCCGATGGATTTCCGAAGGAATTCCATTCATTTCCCAAGGATGCCCATAGATGTTCTAAGGAACCCCATGGAATTCCAACGGAATTTTGTGGATGTCCTAAGGGATCATATGGATGTCCTGGGGAACCCGGTGGATTCCCCATTTTGATGTCCAAAGGGATCATCTTGCTTGCGTTGGGAATCCATATGGCTGTCTTACAGAATCATATGGATATCCCAAGGGATCTTATGAATGTCCTAAGGAATCCTGTGGATTGCCGAAGGCATCTGATGGATTTGCTTAAATATCTGATACATGTCCTCCAGGGTCGTGGGGTTTCCAACGAATTTTCTGTGGAATTCCTCAGGAATCCCATGGGTGTCTTAAGAGGCCTCATGGATGTCTCAAGGAATCATGCGCAATTCCTCCGGAATATGATGGATACCCTAAGGGATCCGATGGATTTCCTCAGGGCCGAACGCTTTGCTCGAGTTCTCGGAGGAGCGCGCGGGGATCTCTGAGGCCATCGACGCGCGGGGGCAGCCGAGGGCTTGGCTGGACGATCTCATTGCGAGCTAGACCAGCGACTTCATCAAACAGCAGCACGGCCAGAGCCTCGTGTTCGCCGGCTGCTTGTCGAGCCAGAGGACCGAGGCCGTCGCGCTCCGAGCGCGGCTCGAGCATGTGGCCCACGCGCCCGTGGCCCCCGACGCCGCGAGCTCCTTGCAGGAGCCGGACGCCCGCGAGCACAGCCAACCCAAGGCCGTGCTCCGAGATTTCATGACCGAGATGCACTGGGCGATGGAACAAGACTGGATCCAGAAGGCGAAGGCCGAGCCCGAGAAACAGTACAAGCACCCGACACAGTGAGGGCCCCACGAACGACGCCTCTACTGCGCCCCCGGGGCTTACGCCAACTTCCGCGACAAGAGCAAGGAGGCGGTGCCGCTCCAAGGGCTGCGAGCGAACCAGATGCTCGTGCTCCGGCCGACCGATCAGGGCGAACTCGAGCCCGCCGTGGGCCTGGAGCCTTGGAGCTGCTCCGCGGTGCAGGGCCGCAGCGTCGAGTCGAGGCCGGCGAGCGAGCGCCTGGAGGGCGCCCAGCGTTGGCCCGAGAACGTCCCGCCAATCCCCGGCTGGAGCGCCCTCGACGGCGACTGCTTCCGCCCCGAGGACGCGCCCGGGGACCGCGTGCCCGGCGAGGGCCCCTGACCCCTGGAGTTCCGAGACCTTGACCTCGAGTCAACCGAAGTGGGGAAATTCATGTGCAGGCCGCCAGAGGACTGGATCAAGGAGATCCAGTTCCCACGCGCCCTCGAGAACCGACCCACGCACGCGCGCACCGAAAAACGCAAGAGTAGGTGGGCGGCCAAGTTCTCGGGCCAGTTCCCGGGCAAGCTGCGGCGCAAGCGGCAGCGCAAGAGGGCCGAAATTGGTGGCGAGGACTCGCTCGAACACCTGGGCCGAGGCGTGGCCAAGGCGAAGTTCCCAGTCTGGGCCCCGCAGACCAAGTCGAGCTTCGGCGAGAAGTCCAAGGCCGAGATGCAAGCGGGGGGGAGGGGCTACAAGAGAAAACCGAAGACCAAGGACAAGGTGAGCCTCGAGGACTGCGAGAACCTTCCCTGGCACGGCAAGGCGGCCCGCGTCCCCGTGGAGGGGGTCCACGAGGGCAGGCGCGGCAGGGTCCGAGACGTCTGGCGAGTCTTTGACACCGATGACACCAGCCATCTCCGAGGGCACGAGGTGGAGACCGCGGCGATCTCCCAGATCGGCGGCGCCGAGGCTCGGAGGCTCAGGAGGAAGGGGGGGGGGAGGGCAGGATTTCTCAGGAATCCGATGGATTCCCTTCGGAATCTTATGCGTTTCCTAAGGAATCCGATGGGTGCCCGATGGGGTCCTAGACATGTCCGAAGGAGCCCGGTGGATCGCCCAAGGAATCCGAAGGATTTCGTAAGGGGCCTAAAAATGACGAGCAGGGAGGGGTGTCCGGGCAGTTCTCTGTTGGGCCTCGGGTTTCGTTCCCCATTCCTTGGGGTGGATTTACCGCTCCGGTTCGGTCTGTATCGGTCCGATTCGGCCCCATTCGGTCCACGAGCGATCCTGGTTCGGTTCGGTTCGGGTCTTTCCCGCGACCGTTCCAGTTTGGTTCGATTCGTCTTGGAGGGGACGCTGGTTCGCGGCCGTTCGATCCAGCCTGGTCCAGTCCAGGCAGTTCTGGAACCCTCCTGCAATGAAACATTGCGACGGAGTTACGCCAGGCAGGAGGCAGCACAGTACCCGATTTCCAATACTCCAGGAGGGTCGGCCGTCAGGACCCTCTGGAACGAGATCCGCTGTCGATGGCATTGCTTGTCGCAGCATCCTTTGGTGCCATGATGCCGCGACCAGGAGCTAAGCGCGCGCGTGGTTCTAGTGTGCATAAATGTACATGTATATGTTGATGTATATATATATATATACACGTATATAAATATATGTGTATAGATATGTCGTAAGGGGTCCTATAGATTTCCCAGCGACCCCCATGGATTGTCAATGGATTTCTAAGGGCTTTTCGCGGGAACCCAATTGATGTCCGAAAGGAGTGTTGTGCATGTCCTATGAGGTACCATTGATGTCCCAAGGGGTCCTATGGATGTCCTAAGAAATCCTGTGGATGTCCGAAGGAACCGCATGGATGTCCGAACGACTCCTATAGATGTCCTCAGGCATCCAGTAGAAACCTTCAGGGATGTTATGCATGTCCGTGATAATGTCATGGGTTCTTTATGGGATCCGACGGATGTCCGAAGGATTCTATAAATGTCAGAAGAAACCCGATCGATTTCCGAAGGAATCTCGTGGATGTCCGAAAGAACCCGATGGATTTCCGAAAAGAGTCCTCTGGTTTTTCTTTTGGTTTTTATGGATTCCCATCGGATTCCTATGGATGTCCGAAGGCATCCCGCGGATTTCGTAAGGGATCCGATGGATGTCCCAAGGAAGCTGATGCATGTCCGAAGGAATCCGATGGACGTCCTAAGATATGTCTTGGAATTCCGAACGAAGCCGTTGGACTTCCGCAGGAACGTGATGCGTTTCCGAATGAACCGGATGGGTTTTCAAAAGGATTGATCCGGATATCTTAGGGGATCCCATGTATGTCCAAAGGAACCCGATCGACTTCCGAAGGAATCCTTGTGGATGTCCTAAGGAATCCTAAGGATGTCCCAAACAATTCCATACATTCCTAAAAGGATCCTACGGATTTTCCAAAGAATCTGGAGAATCCCCAGAGGATTTTTATGAAGTGTCCAGGATCATTTTTATTTTTGTCATCATCATCAGCATCATCATCGTCATCACCTTCTCCATTATGCTGAGATGCCCAGGAAAACCTTTTAAACCCCTCCTGGGCCCCGAATATTATTATCACCAAGGGATTACGATCAGGGGCCAACCACGCCTTTGCGCGACACGCCATCCGCACCCGGGTCCTCGAGCACCAACGGCCCGATGATTTGGAAGCCTCCGCGGAGCGAGGGGCACGCTACCACTTGGCAGAGAAGCGCGTCGTTGGGACCAGCGCCGCGGCACGCTCAGCAGCAGTCCCTCACTGTCTTCTGCGTCCGTTCCTGGGCGTGCGGGGCCCCCTCGACGAGGGTCAGCCCGGCCTCGTCGTCGCACTGGGCCGTTTCTTGGACCGCCTTTTTCGGCACGTGACGGTTCTCCGTGATGGTGGTCGGTCTGGGGCTGTCGGGGGGTTGAATACCCCCGTCGGTTCTCATGGAGATGTGAATACATTAGCTTAATAAGCATCACGTCCTCATTTCTGTGGACGGAACGCCATGCACCACGCCCAGCCTAACTCAACTCAGCTCCCCCCGTCTACACTCATCGGCGTCATCCTCCTAAATTATTCGCATTTATCCTTTGTCACCGCGTCCCGTTGCACTGCGGCTACTTCCTGAGCTGCCGGCCAGAGGATGACGTGAAGAGCGTCTCGACCTGCGAGGACACTGCTGGGGACGACGAGGAGATCATCAGCATCTGACGCGAAGCGCGAAGCAGACAAACGACAAACAGGCACCGCAGCAGGGTTTGTGAGGAGTGGTAGGAGGAGGAGGAGGAGGAGGAGGAGGAAGAGGAGGAAGAGGAGGAGGAGGAGGAGGACGATGAGGAGGAGGAGGAGGAAGAGACAAAGGAGCAGAAGAAGAAGAACGCCAAGGAGGAGAGGGCCTCGCTTCATTGAATGATCAAGTCCGCAGCACGATGCGCGAAGGAGGATGAGAGGAACGAGAAGCAGGATCATGATTGGAATTGGAAGGGCAGGCGAGATCAAGGGACGGTGCGAAGGGAGATCAGGGGGAGACTAGAGCACGTAGGTGATTGATCAGCGACGGGTGAGGGAGGAGGAGGAGGCGGAGGAGGAGAAGGTGGAGGATGAGGAGGAGGAGGAGACTGCAGAGCGACAGAGGGCGGAGAGGAAGCAGGCAGAATGGGAGGGTGGACGACAGTCGCGTCCCTCGAAGAGGGTCCGCACTGTGCGGCGACACTCTCGCGCTTGTGAAGGCCACCCCTTCGCGGCACCTGCCAGCACCAGCTCTTCCGCGTCAAGGCTTTCGGCCAAGGACGTTTGTTCAGCGTGTCGCGCCGCCGGTTCTGGCCCACCACTTTTCCGAGCGACGGGCTGACCGCGTCCTGGTCCCCAGGCGTCCATGTCCCGAGCCTCTCCCGAGCCCCCCGCCCCGCGGAGCGGAGCAACACGCTATCCGCTTGGAGGGCATAGCGTGTCACCAGGGCCGCCGCGGAGACACGCTGAGCAAAAGTTCCCGAACGTGTGCGCCCTTGTCGTTGCTGTCCCGCGGGCACCAACGACCGGAAGCATCCGCTCGTTGTCTCCAGATCTCAAAAGGCAAGCGCATGGAAATGCAAAGACAATGTTTCCAGATCTGTCCCTGGCTCAAATAGTATGGGACTCGGTTGGAAGGTGTTATTGATTCTATTCCTGTTCCAACAAAAGGGTTACTTAACTTGGGCCAGATTCGCGCCGGGCGCGCCCGCCCCTGTTCCGCACGGCCAGACAGAAAAGCACTACAGTAGTACTTCTGGGATTCGGCTGGAGGCTTGATCAAGAAAACGATTGCCCTCCTGTCGGACTGCCAGCGAACAGGCGACGGCCGACGCGCTGCTAGCATTCCAGCGCGCATCGAATGGGAGGACAGCGGCGGGCGCATCGGCGGAGCTCGTTTTCGTCGACGCTCGCTCGCCGACGGCAGACCCGCCACTGGTCCAGCAGACCCAGACCCCCGTGACTCACGAATTGTTCATTGCGCTCGTTCTACATGTTTTCGACAAGCTGTTATGTGTTTAGCTCTGGGGGCCGGGGCCGTCTGTAGTGCTACTCCACCGGATTTGGCCCACAATCCCGCGGCCCGATTTGGCCCAAAGTCCCTCTGGTGTTTTTGCGTTGCACTCATGTACGTCTATGCTCACAGTTTTTTCGGTTCGTTGGCGTCGGTGTCGTGGCCAAGTGCCATGTGGTACCTACCGTCACGGTCTTGTCTTAAGAGGTCTTGCGACCAAGTTGCGGGTGGGAGGGTGGGATGTTTGCACGAGCAGTGGAGAGTACAGTTTCAAGACGGTCAAAGTGAATTGCACCACACAGATTGCACCGCGTATATTGCACTACGTAGGCTGCAACGCGTAGATTCTCTTTTCTACAAAGAGAATCGGTTCTACCACCTTCCCCCCCGGGGTAAAAGATCCGACGGGGACCGATGCAAAACACGTGGGATTCTGACCCAATGTCCATCCCACCTGCGAATTCATAGTATCCCAGCCAAACCGGTATCGGCCGTCCCCGCGATGCGCGCACTTTCGTTTATCAAAAATCATAAATGTTCAAGAATCTCTTACACAAGACAGGACGAAGTGCACACGCGCGCGTCGTCGCGCGTGCATGCCGAAATCCTTTGAAAACCTTCGGTTTCGGACGGGTTTCAAAATCAAGTTCCCCAAGAAGATACAACATCACACGGTTTCGAAGCTCTGATTCTCTAAAGACGCTTCCGCGTGCGCTCTTACAAAATCTTACGAAAACTTCAGTTTCCAGTATTTTCAAAAAAAAAAAGGAAAATACTACCAAACGGGCTTCGCGCGCGCATGTCGAAATCGCTCTGACGCCCTTGTGCGCGTGCCGTCGCGAGAATCCACTGCAACAAATGGCACGGAGTGCATGCGCGCGCGTCGTCGCGCGCATGCCGAAATCCTTCAAAACCATTCGGTTTGGGAAGGATTCCAAAATCGAATGTCCAAAAAACATACAAAATCACAGGGTTTCGCAACACGTATCTTCAACAAAAACGTGTGCACGCGCTTTTGCGTCGTCGTCGTCGTCGTCGTCGTCGCCGACCCTCCTCCGTGGTCGTCGTCTTCGTCGTCGTCGTTGTCGTTGTCCTCTGCCTTTCCTCATCGTCGTCATCGTCTTCTTCTTTGGCGTCGCCGTCGTTTCCGTCGTCATTGCGGCCGTGGTCGTCCTTCCTCTTCCCTCGTCGCCGCCGTCGTCGTCGTCGTTGCTGTCTTCCTTCCTCCCTCGTCGTTGTCGTCGTCGGCGTCGCCGTCCTCCCCCCTTCTTCGTTGTTCGCGTTGTCGCCGTCCTCCGTCCTCCCTCGTTGTCGTCGTTGTCGCCGTCGTTGTCCTCATTCCTCCCTCGTCGTCGTCTTCGTTGGCGACGTCGTCGTCGCCGGCGACGTCGTCGTAGTCGTCGTCGTCGTCGTCCGTCGTCGGCGTCGTCGTCGTCGTCGGCGTCGTCGTCGTCGTCGGCGTTGTCATCGGCGTCGTCGTCGTCGGCGTCGGCGTCGTCGTCGTCGTCGGGGTCATCGTTGTCGTCGTCTTCGTCAGTGTCGTCGTCGTCGTTGGAGACGCCGTCGGTGTCGTCGTAGTCGTTGTCTGCGGCGTCGTCGTCGTTGTTCTCGCTGCCGTCGTCGGCGCCGGTGTCGTTGCCAAGTGCGATGTGGTACCTACCGTCACGGTCTTGAGAGATCTTGCGACCAAGTTGCGGGCGGAAGGGTGGGATGGTTGCACGAGCAGTGGAGAGCACAGCTTCAAGTCGAGCAAGTGATTGATTGCACAACATTCATTGCACCGCGTACATTGCACCCCGCAGATTGCATTGCATAGGTTTCATCGCATACGTTGCAGTGTCTACCGTTGTCGGCATTGCCAAGATACCGCGCCTGCCCAAGTCGCTGACTCGCACTGAAGTGCCCGCTGTAATGTGCCCAGAGGTCAGCGACATCTCGGCCGCGTCGGTCGCGCCAAACTAGCTGGCCGCTGTGCGCGCGGGCGGGCGTGGCCTCACAGATGCCCCAGCCAGCGCTATGCACTCACCGCAATCGCCGCCGCATGCGTTTTGCAAACCAAATTGCGGGTGGGTGGGTGGGATGTTTGCAAGAGCATGGGGTGTGTCAGTGGGTGGGTCGGTTGTGTACATCAAGTTGCACCACATAAATTGCATCGCGTTGACTGCAACAACCTACCGTTTGGGGTCCAAGCTGGCTGACATGATTTCTTGCCCCTCGACAGGATCATTACATCAGCCACCTGCTGGTTAAAATGTGCGGGGGGTGGAGAGTCAGGGCCCGTGGCGTGACTTCCTCTACGCAGGCCCCCGACGACGTGATTTCTGCAACCGCGTGGGCGCCATGTCTTTCCCACTGAGGGCTCCGCCCCAGGGTCCTCTTCAAGCATGCGCCTGGCGCGTGCGCGCTTTGGAGACAACGCGTGCAAGTACCAAGTGCTTCCATCATGTGGTCAGAGGGTTCTTCGCGCGCAGGCATGCGTGAACGGCGGGCGGTGCCCAACAGGCGTTTGGCACTTGCGCGTTTGGGGCGTGTCTTCGCATGCGAAGACGCGAACGGGGGCATCCAGCAATCCTTCGCCTATGTTGTTTCGCCATATGTATATTTACACATATGTACAAACATACGTAAATACATACTATATATATATATATACATCGCGCGCGGATGGGGGGGTCCAGAATGCGCCTGGCCTGGAACGTGCAGCTTTGGAGTGTGCTTTCTGTCGTGCAGGCGCGGGGGATTCGATCTTCGCGTGGAACATTACCTGCGCGGATGCGGGTTCCATCGTGCATTCGTCGCGTGCGCATCCGAGGCGTGGCGTCAACGGCGAAGGTGCCACATGGGTATCCAACGTATGATCGGTGGATCCGAAATATTTCCGCGGATGGGGGGGTAAGGCGTGCGTCTGGCACGGGTGCGGTTTGGATGGCGTAACTCAGCCGACGTGTCAGAATCAAGTCTGCCTTGGGTTCCTTGTCGTGCCCGTGGATCCTTCAAGTTGAGCCATGTTCAATACAATCCTGCCTTGATTCATTGGTCCGAAAGATACCCGTACCCGGGGCCAGCCAAGGTGAGATGGGCCGTCCGGGGGACTGGGCGTTTGCTATTGCCCGGTCAGCTTGCCCCGCGCGCGCCAGTGCAGCATCCGCGTGTCAAGACGCAACGGCGCGCTCGATGGTTGGGTGTCTGATTGCAGCGACAAGCGCTGGTTTTTGTTAGGGACGTCTCGGGGCATCGTGGTGCGTGCGCGGTTCAAAGCCGCCCATATGTGGTGGCGCATGTCCCAATTGATAAAAAGATTCGTTTCCTCGCCATCATCCTGGCAATCAATGCGTCTGGGCATGCCCTGAGGAAGGACGTTGCAATGTCGCGCCCCCCAGGGGGCCGCAGCGGCCACGTTGGGGACGGTTTTGGAAGGCATGCGATGTGCTCGAAAGCGTTTTGGGCCTGCCGCCACCTCGGCTAGGTACGGGGACCTGCCTGAAACCACCGAAACATACCCGGACCTAGCTGGGGTGAAGCTGCGACACCCCGGCTAGGTACGGGTATGTTTTGGGGCTTTCTGGGGGCAACCGTACCTAGTCGGGGTGATCCGCGGACGGCCGTCCAAGGGGGGCGGCCTTTGGCGACTTCGCCCAGCGCTCAGAGCCGCGATGTCTCTGCATCGATCAATTCGCGATTGGGCGGTTGTCGCGCTGTGACGTTCGCGCCAGAGTTGTTCGCGTGCACCCTCGAGTGCGCGTTGATTCCTCAACGCCAGGATATGTGTCTCTGGGGGCGCGCCTCCCATGCAGCTGGTCTACATCTACAGCAGCCCTCGCTGGGCCGGCCACTCCGCCGATTCGAGCGCACGCGCGATCGGTGCTAACGTGCGTCTCGAGAAGACAGCGGTCTGCAATGCTCGATCGGCCGTCGCTTCTACACTTGTGCAGCCGCCGTCAGCTGCGACGAACCGCCCCCCCGGACCCTTGCCACCCTGTCTAGGTAATGTTGCGGGTATCCTTCGCGCTCGAGATTGAGAGTTCCACATTTGGAATCGGTCGTTCTCTTTGTAATCGACCCTTCCCGAGAGTGTTGTTGGGTCTATGTCGGAAGTGGGGTTTCGCAACACTGGTCCCTGTTGACCAAGAGGCTCCTAGGAGGCCTTCAGAGGCGCCCCAAAAAAAACACAAGGGCAAGGAGGCCCAAGAGAGCCCCGAGATCTTCCCCAAGATGACTTCAAGTGGCCAAAAGGTCGTCTTCGTCGTCGCCCTCCAGGGTCACGGGCACTGCACCTGCCGTAAGGCCTTCGCATTGTACCCAGCTCGACAGTGTTGCTGGACCTACGCCTCGACTGGGGTTCCGTGGCACGGCCCCCTGCCGACGTCAGCGCCCCGCGGCCCAAACCCTGCCACCCGACCGCAGATCCGCTTCGCAACGTACCGGTGACACGCGCGGGTGGTTCTCGCAGGCCATGATCGCCATTGGGGAAGCGGGTCTTGAGGGAAACGGTCCTGAGGTTTTTCGTCGTTTTCGGGTTCCCGGGGCCCTCCACGGGCCCCAGGATTGTGACAAAGCAACCCGTGATGAACAATTCATCCCAGGGGGAGGCACCAGGGTCCAGGACTGTTTTCCTTCAGGACTCGTTGCCCCCATTCTAACAGGAGCGGGACGCGGGATGGGTCGGGGGGCGGGCCGCGTGGTGACGGCGACAGCAATCAACAAACAAGAATTGTCAAAACATTATTTCTCGCAGTTATACGGGGATTTCTTGGATAGGCGGTGGGTCCGCCACCCCTAGAGCGCTCCACGCTCCACGCTCCTCCTCCTCCTCCTCCTCCTCCTCCTCCTCCTGCAATCTCCATCCTGCCGCCTCCCTCCTGCTGCTCCTCCTCCTCTTCCTTCTCCTCCTCCTCTTCCTCCTCCTTCTCCTCTTCCTTTTCCTCTTCCTCTTTCTCTTCCCCCTCCCTCCTCCTCACTTTCTCCAACTCGCTCCATCCCTCGGGGCCCTCCCTTCCTCGAGGCCTTCATTCCCTGGCGGAGACCCTCTTCGGGGCCCTGCGCCTTCCAAAGCGCCTGCCCCTCAGAGGGATACGGCTTCGTCTTGACGTTGAGTTCCGCCGCCGCCCTCCCTCCTGTTCCTCCTCCCGTCCTCCCTTCCTCCCTCTTCCTCCTTTTCCTCCTCCTCCTCCTGGTCGTGGAAGAGCTAGCTGCTCGCGTCCCGCTTCCTGCGTATCGCTCTGTGCTGGTGCTGAATTTTTATGTTCGCATTCCTTCTCGCACCCTAGTGTGCAATGAGCAGTCCTGAGCAGTCCTCCTCCTCCTCCTCCTCCTCCTCCTCCTCCTCCCTTCGAACATCCCCCTCCGGTTCCTGCAGCAGCACCCGCGCGCTGCCGCCGCGGGCATAGCGGACCCCCCCTCGCTGCCCCCACGCGGGAGCAGGTCGCCCCCGGGGAGCTTCCGCGTGGCGAGCCTCACAGGCTTTGGGGTGTTGCTAGAATTGCCCTTGGCCGGACAGAACTGCGTGTTTTTGAAGCTGGATCCGGCTTCAGCAACACGCAGTTCTTTTAAGCCCCTTCCGGTTTCAAAAGCACGCAGTTCTCTCGGGAGTCCCCAGGATTCCCAAGGAGGCCCCCATGGCCTCCGGGGCCCCCCTTACGGGGCCCACATGGGCCCCAGAACGGAGCGACAAGCTGGGGGCAGTTTGGGCCAGGGGCCTCTTGGGCGACCCCCGAAACGTGGAGGCCTGGTGATTCGTCCTTACACATTGGAGGTCTGGGGACGTTCTCCGGGCGCCCTCATCGCCTCGGCTGGATCCGCCTCGAGATTATGACCGGCGCGCGCCTGGCCCCCCCCCCTCTTTCCTTCGGATGCAGGGGGAGCGACACCACCCCCAGCTGGCTGGCCACCCCCAGCGAGACGGTCCGCGATGCCTTCCGAGCTGGAGCATGGATACGTTTCGAGCAGGGCGCCGCGGAGCCAGATATGCAACGTCCTGAAATTACCCAGGACATACCCATGCCCTTTCCCACGCGAAGCACCAATTTCTATGAACGTTCCATGCAAAATAACTCGTCGCCAGGTAATCACGGTCAGCGCCACCCTGCACTCCGCCGTGCCCCCCAGGAGCCCACGAAAGTGGCG